GTGGAACAGCAGATAGCAAGCTAGGCCTGGAGTCAGGAGGACCCGAGTTCAAATCTGGCCTCAGACACGTATTAGCTGTGTGAGCTTGGGCAAGTCACTTCATCCTGTTTGCCCCAGTTTCCTCATCTGCAAAATGAGCTGGAGAAGAAAATGGCAAACCACTCCAGGATCTTTGCCAAGAAAACCCCAAGTGGGGGCAGCTAGGTGCTACAGTGGATAAAGCACTGGCCTTGGAGTCAGGAGGACCTGAGTTCAAATCTGGCCTCAGATCAAACACTTGGCACTCACTAGCTGTGTGACCCTGGGCAAGTCACTTAATCCCAAATGCCTAAAAAGTTTAAAAAAAAAGAAAACCTCAAGTGGAGTCACAAAGAGTCAGACACAACTGAAATGACTGAGCAACAACTTACCATAGTTGTTAGAATAAAATAGGGTACTTACTTATAAATCACTTCACAAATCTTAAGTCACTAAATAATGATTTTATTATTATCACATGATAATATCATTATATTATGATATACGATATTATGGTAATATTATCACCAAATTAAGAGAGGTGATGAGGCATAAAAAAAGAGAGGTGAACTCGTATTCACAGAAACCTGGGTTTATGTCCCTCCTCGGATGTGCACTAGCTGTTCTTGTTTTCTTCTTCCTCTTCCTCTTCTTCTTCCTCTTCCTCCTCCTCTTCTTGTTCCTCTTCCTCTTCTTCTTCCTCTTCCTCTTCTTCCTCTTCTTCCTCCTCCTCCTCCTTCCTCCTCTTCCCTCCCTCCTCCTTTTCCTCAAGCAAGTCACTTAATCTCTCAATGCCTAGTTTCCTTATCAATAAATAATCAGCAAAATGGGGACAACTTGTCTAGGCTGTTTTGAGGATCAAGTGAAATCACATGTTTAAACATTTTGTAAACCTTAAAGCCTTAAAGAAAGCCGATGAGAGGCAGCTGGGGACAATGAAAAGAGGACCTGGGTTCAAATCCTATCTCTGTAGTGTTCTAGTTGTGTGACCTTAGGTTAGTCACATGGACTTAATAGCCTCTAAGGTCTCTTCAGGCCTAGATCTACAATCTTGAGGGAAATTCTTTCCCAGCCCTGATATTACTGCCTCTAGGAATCCTCCCTGACCCCAGCCTCCTGCACAGGAAAGGAATTTCTCCCTTCTTAAACATCCCTTGTTCTAGTTTTCCTTGAATCTTACTCTATTTTTTCTCACACTTAAAAAAAAAATTAACCCCAGGGAGAACTTTTGGTCAAGCATCTAATCACATTCAAAGATGCCTTATTTATATTTATCCTTTTAATGCTCATTCTATATATAATTATGTACTTTTCGTCACCCCCTTATTAGAATATAAACTCTCTGAGAGAGATTTACAAATGTAAAACTCTACCTAACCCCTCCTAGGTGCTTAACAAATGTTTGTTGATTGACTGATTGATTGACAAGGACCAGAGCTTGACCATTTCAAGTCCAGCCCAGTTATTTGCCCCACCCAACACCAGAGGGAGCCGGGGAAACATTAATCTCCATGATTCATGAAGCATTGGTAACCTCTGGTCCTTGGCACAGCTGCTTTCTGGGAGACACTGTTTGTCTTCCTAGCCTCAAACAATAGTTCCCAGTCTTTTTCAGTCACGCAAAGCCTTGGCTTTCAGTAAAACCTTTCTGCTGCCTCTGCCCTCTCACTCCCATTCAATATGAAGGGAAAGAAATTCTGGAATCTACCATGCACCTGTACATACAATGCCACACAGCAGGTTAATTACAATATAATTACTTATAATACAACACATAATTATAATACGATAGATTAATTTTTCATAAAGAAAACTTTATTTGGTAACATTTTTGTATGAAGTTATAAAATATAATTTTTAAAACATCTAATACTACTTTGTCGTTGCTCAGTTGTATCAGACTCTTTATGACCCCATTTCAGGTTTTCTTGGCAGAGGTACTGGAGTGGATTGCCATTTCCTTCTCCAGATCACTTTATAGATGAGGAAACTGAGGCAAAAAGGGTTATGTGATTTGCCCAGGGTCACACAGCTAGTAAGTATCTGAGGTCACATTTGAACTCAGGTCCTTTTGACTCTAGGTCCCATTGTGCCACCTGGCTGCCTCATATAGTAGATGCGTAATAAATGCTTATTGACTGTTTGCCTCCTTACGGGGCACTTAATAATAGCTAGTACTTACATAGAATTTTAAGACTTTTTAAAAGTGATTCACAAATGTTATCTCATTACATCCTGACAGCAATCATGGGAAGTAGGTGCTATTACTATTCCCATTTTACAGAGTAGATTGACAGACTGGAGGCAAAAAACATTGTCCCCATTTTACAGATGATGAAACAGAGGCACAGGGAGGTTGAGTGACTTACCCAGGGCCACACAGCTGGTGAGTCTCTGAGGCTGGATCTGAACTCAGTTCTTCCTCACTGTAGTAAGCCCATTGTACCACCTAGTTGCCTAGAGGCAAGCATAATTGCTGATACATTGGTAGTGGTAGGACTGAAGAAGGTCAAATGTTGCATTTTTTTAAAAAAAGAATGGAAACAGTCTGCAGACTGTAGGACAGTGACCTTGACATGATTTCATAGGAAAATTCTAGAACAAATGAGTAGAGATGAGATTACTTAATCTTAGTCTACAGAAGTTTACAGAACACAAGTCTACAAAAGGAAATGATGATCACAAAATCCAACATGATTTCAAAACAAATAGGTCACATTAGATTAACCCATTTTCCCTCTCTGGTAGCCTTCCTAAGTGAGCAGATGTTCTAGGTACAGTTTAGCTAAAGCTCCAAAAAATGTCTCAGGATATTCTTGTGGGGAAAATGGAGAGAGGTGGGCAAGAGAAAAGCAGAATTAGATCACTGTTCCTTAACCGAGGGACCACAGACCCCCAAAGGGTTTGTGGATAGATTTCAGGGAGTCTGTGAACTTGGCTGGGAAAAAAATTAAATCTTTATTTTCACTAACTCTAACTGAAAATTTATTATTTCCTTCGGTTATAAATTTAGGCAACAGGCCCCTCTTCCTAATTTCCCTATCACAGTTGAGGCTATTACCAGCCACCTGATCCCCCAGGCTCAAAATCTAGGTGTCCTCCTGGACTCCTTACTCTCTCTTACCTCCTCCCCCTTATCTAATCTGTTACCAGGGCAGCTAGGTGGCACGATGGATCGACTGCTGGGTCTGGAGTCAGTAAGACCTGAGTTCAAATTTGACCTTGGACACTTACTAGTTGTGTGACCCTGGACAGGTCACTTAACCTTGTTTGTCTCAGTTCTCTCCAGTATCTTTGCCAAGAAAAAACCCCAAATAGGATCACAGAGAATCAGGCATGACTGAAAGAACTCAACAATAACAAAAAATGTGTGCTACGTGCCAGGCACCACGCTAAGCACTTTTACAAATGTGGTTTTATTTGATGCTCACAACAATGCTGGGAGGTAGGTGCTGTTATTATCCCCATTTTACAAATAAGGAAACTGAGGCACAGAGAGGTTACGTGACTTGGCTAGGGTCTCACAGCTAGTAAATGTCTGAGAATGAATTTGGACTCCTGACTCTAGGTCCTGTGCTCTGTCCACTTCTCCACCTAGCTGCCCCTAAGAGAGCAGTTCAGTGACATTCCCAGAAGGAACTGATGGCTCTGAAGTGTTAAGAGGCATAATATGCCTCTCTGTGTAGATGTCCTAGCCACATGTGTTTCTTACATGCACGCTGACCAACCTATGACCTCGCCAGATGTGCTGTCTATATGTGTGCCTGCCATACTGTGAGTCTTCTACGCGTCCATATTTCCCATTGATGGCGTGGAATTTGTAGAGGAATCTACCCTAGGTTTATGGAGAAATAGTCTATTTTTTCCCCTACTTTTCCTAACTTTGCCACTTCATGAATGCCTTTTCTTTGAAAGAATTGTGGGTTAACTAGTAATCATTGTGTAGGCTTGTAAGCTATAGTTTGGTTTTTTATTTGTTTGTTTTTCTGAACTACAGTTTTAAGTAGAAGCAGACCCAACATACCTTGGACTCTGGAAGAGAGAGTGACCCAGCTGCTTTGACTATGTCAAACTCTGACCTTTGACCAGGCCTGTCAGCTTCTTGCATTTGGACATAATCCCTCTCTTAATGCCATCTAAGATTGCAGTAGGTTTTCTTTATGGTTGCTACCACAGCCATCCTTATGTTGACTTACATTGAGCTTATATTCCACTTGTAACTGAGGACTCTTTCCCAGCTCTTCCTTCCCCAGCCTGTACTTGTGAAGTTGAATCCTTGAACCCTATAATTTCAGCTGCCCAGCTTGGCCCTTGTTTTGGTCTCTTAAGCTCTTTTCAGATCCTGGCTCTGCTGTCCAATGGATCAGTTATACCTCCTAGCTTGGTGTCATCTTCCAACTGGACAAACATGCTACCCACATCTCCATCCACATCATCGATAAAAACTTAAGGGGTGGAATAGCATAGGGCTGAGATCTGTTTATTCCTTCTTTTTTCTGGCAGAAATTATAGTCAGCCCACAAGTTTCTGGGGCACTGGGAGGATAGACCCACTCGAAGCTGGGGGGATCTTCACTCATCTTGGTCTGCCAGGTGGGGCAATGGGGTTAGCTGGACCCCCTTTATAGTACACAGTCACAGGCCTGGACCTCTTGACATTTAAAATGCTTCCCCTTTATTCAGATAGAAATGAATTGAACTGGTAACAGTCTGTTATGATGTCAAAGCAAAATGAGGGAATTTCAGAAATGCCCTTCTCCTGAACACCATCTTTGTGCAGACTTCTGGGGGTGGAGTTGGGGCGAGGTGGGAGGGGGAAGGGGAGTAGTTTGCTAGGCAGAAAAGGAAAGACTTCCTTTTCTTTTTTTTTTCCTGTTTCTTCCCCTCCAGCTATGACCACATAGGCCGCCTTTGCCAGGCCCCGCCTCCCCTCCCCTATCATTGGAGGAAGTGAAAATGATGGGCTCCTCTTCCAAAACAGGATGTTCTCTGTCTTCTGGTTCTCTTGGGCTGACTGCCATCTGTGTTTTTCGGCTGTGAGCTCTTCTTCGGGGAGCTGGAAGACGCTTGCCACCAGCCATGTGTCTCTGCTGCAGCTGGAGGGACATATGCAAATATGAGACTGCCAAGGTCATCCGCGTTCAAAGCATGACCTATGGGACTATAAGATGGACCCTCTGTATGATAGTCTTCCTCTATGTTTGGTAAGCCATATGGGACTGCTTTCTTCTTTGGCTAACAACTCAGCCCCTAACCCTCCCCTCATCCCCCAGTAATACATTTCTTCTCTGTCCCTCCACTGTGTGTGATCCTACATCCCCATCCATATTTCCACTGACTGTCAACATTTGGGAAAGCAGTACCAGGAGACTTCCAGTAAAAGGCTTGGTGGGTATTTGGGCATGGCACTTTCGATTTCTTGTAAATGAATCAGAAGCTACAGAATAAAACATACTTGGAGGCACTAGAAAGAGCTTTGACTATGGAGTCAGAGGGTCTGGGTTCAAATTTCTTTTCTGATACTACCTATGTGACTTGGCACTAGTCACTTAAGCTTCTTGGACCTCAGTTTCCACATCTGTAAAAATGAGGGTGTTTGGACCAGATGACCTCTAAGGTTAATTTCACCTCTAAAGCTATGATTCTATGATATGACCCAGGTCAAATATCACCTTTGATGCCAACGACGTATGTGATGCCAAAAGTCACTAAACTCCCCTGGGCCTCAGTTTACTCATCTGTAAAAAGAGAGAGTTGGACTAGATGACCCCGTGGGTCCTTTCTAGGTCTAGATCTGTGTTCCCACTATGTAATTGTGGGAAGATTCCGGCAAACACTCTAGATTTGTGGGGAAGAGATAATTGGACTTTCAGGATGGATTCCCTTCAGTGATAAACAGTGGGCATCTCTGCCAGTTTATAACAAGCTTCAGCGAGCAGAATGTTAAGATCAGCCCCTTTAGCCTAAAGGAAAAAAAATTGCCTGAAGGTCCCATTTGCCCTCTGTTCATGGCAAAAGCAACAGGTTTCTGTGGAAGGGGACCTTGTCTTTCAAGGGGTCTCTTGCCCTACTAGGACTGAGTAGCTGCTAAGAATGCCTTTGTCTAAGAAACCTGGAAGCCTGATTAGGTTCTTAGAAGCCTGAAATGCTCATCAGCATAGAAGTATCCTCAAAGAAGAGGTTCAGAAGAACAGGGAGGGGAAGATTTTTGAAAACTCCCCTCTCTGGTTCTACCAGGATCCTGTGGTTTCAGTTGGCTCCCAACATCTGCTATTGCCTTCAGTCAGTGCAGAAATCTACCTGCCTGGTGCAATGGAATTAATTAAGTACATCTTGTTCTGTAGTCAGAGGACCTAGGTTCTCATCCTAACTCTTGGCAAAGCCTCCTCATGACTCAGTTTACTCCTCTGTAAAATGAGAGGTGAGGGTTTGGACTAAATGACCTCTGAGGCCCCTTGCAGCTCTAAATCCAGGAGCCTATGGTATGGGTTATAGTTCCAGCTCTTCCACTAACTAGTGCTAAGTATTAGAGAATTCACTTCTCTCTGGGACTCATTTTCCTCATTTCTAAAATGAGGGGGGTGGTTGAGATCACTAAGGCAACTTTCAGTTCTAAAATTCTATTCTAGTCTAACCTCTGCTCAGGGAGATTATGAAAATCAAGCAAGTCTAAGAAAGAGTTTGTCATCCATCCACCCACCCATCCATCCATCCATCAATCTATCCATTGAATCTATTGATATCCACCCATCATAGCCAACCCACGGTATCCATCGATCACATCCATCTCTCACTGAAATCCAATTCAATTGCAAGACATGTGGTCATCTCCCTGATGTCATGGTCCTCTTTGAGGACAAAGGACAAACCACACACACACACACACACACACACACACACACACACACACAACCATCCATCCGTTGTTTTCATATATCCATCCATCCCATCAATCCATCCATCATCCACTATATGCAACTATCCTATCCATCCATCTATCATAACCAACTATCATAATCCATCCATCCTTCCATCCTATCAATCCATCTATCCATCCATTCATAGATCTATCTCTATGCATTCATCCATCTATTGTATGTATTTATTGTATCCACTATAATATCCATCCACTATATCCAACTATTATATCCATCCATCCATCTATCCATCCATCCATGTATCTCTCCATCTCTCCATCCATCCATCCATCCATCCATCCATCCATCCATCCATCCATTGCATCCATCCATCTCTCCATCTATCCATCCATTCAATATAATCCTGGGGGAATATATAGAGTGCACCTACTCAGCTGGGCAAGTGGGCACTTTTAGAGGGAGGGGGAAACACCTATAGCCGTATTGCTCTTGGTAACACTATTCAAAGGTAGGGTGTCCTGAGTAATGACCAGCCCTGCTTTGTGGAAGATTTCCTACCATGAGGACAGCTCATGGTAGTGGGAAGTCTCAAGCTATCCTACCCATGATTTACCTGGCAGTCAGACCAGGAGAGCAGAGAGCATCACAAGAGGGGAAGCATCAGGGAATAAAAGAAGGTCTTGGCAGGTAGGAGGAAGCCAGTGTCATGGAGATGTGGCACTAGGGGGCCAGGAGTCATTGGATCACACATTTAGTGCCAGAAGGGACCTTAATCCAACCTTCTCATTTTACAGATGAGAAAACTGAGGGTCAGAGAGTCAATTTACTTGCCCAAGGCCACACAGATACTAAGCGGTAGAGCAGGTATTTGAACTCATGCCCTCTGAAGCCAAACCCACTGCTCTTTTTACCAGGTCATTCTGCCTCCCTAGTAATGTTGGGGAGCAGAAGCAGAATCCTAGCTGCACAGCCTATGGTCCTGAGATAGCACCAGGAGGGAAGGAGGATTAATTCAATTCAATTTAGTTAGCATGTACTGAGTACCAAGCACTGTGTAAATTAACTATGAGGATACTAACATAAAGAGAAAGGAAACAGATCCTGGCTTCAAAGAACTGCATTCTACTGGCAATGGGGAGGACCCTAGTCTTGGAAGAACTGGAGTCCAAAGCAGGGAACCAAGTTATGGGTAGCAGCTTGGTATAGGGTGACGAGTGCTGAATTTGGAGTGAGAAGGCCTTGATTCAAATCCTGACTCTGCTACTTGCTGTGTGACCCTTGGCAGATCACTTTAACTTCCTGGGCCTCAGTTTCCTCATCTGTAAAATGAGGGGTTTGGACTCAATCAGGGGTCATTCATCTGTTTTTGTGTCATGGACCCCTTTGGCCATTTGGTGAATCCTGTAGTCCCATAGGGGTTCGTAGAGACCTTTTCAGAACCACGTTTTTTAAATGCATAAAATAAAATACATAGGATTAGAAAGGAAACCATTTATGCTGAAATAGAGTTGTCAAAATAGGAATAAGTTACAAGTTGATAGAGCCCTGGAAATCTCTCCCTCAACTCCTTGGGTGTCCATGGACTCCAGGTGAAGAATCTGCTCTAATGCTAATGCTTTCCCTCTCTTGTTTTCTGTATATGCTGTAAGCAGCTCATTTATACGTTTTTAAAAATATTGTCTCCCTCGTTAGACTGTGAGCCCATCAAAAGTAGGGACAGTCATTTGCCTCTTTGTATCTCCTGTGCTTGGCACTGTACCTGGTACTTACTAGGTGCTTGAGAAATATTTTTTGACTGGTTGACTTGACTAAATAAATTCTAAGATCCTTTCTGGCTCTCAGTTCTATAATATTTTACCTCGCTCAGCCTCAGTGTCCTCATTTCTAAAACGGGGAAAGCAATACTTGTACTTAATGACCTTGCAGTGTTGTGGTGAAGACTGTGCTTCATAAACATTATAGCATAGAAATGAGAGCTGGTCTTATCCAAGGGGAGAAATCTTGCCCAATTCTTACAGGGACTTTTTGAAAAGAACTCCTAGTTTGTTTGTTTGTTTCCTCCCTCCCTCCTTTCCTTCCTTCCTTTCTTTCTTTCCTCCCTTCCTCCTTGTTTCTTCACTCTTTCCTTCCTCCCTCTCTCCCTCACTCTTCTTTCTTTCTTTCTTTCTTCCTTTCTTTCCTCCCTTCCTCCTTCCTTCTTCCCTCTCTCCCTCCCTTTCTTTCTCCCTCCTCCTTCCTTCCTTCCTTCCTTCCTTCCTTCCTCCTTCCTTCCTTCTTCCTTCCTTCCTTCCTTCCTTCCTTCCTTCCTTCCTTCCTCCCTCCCTCCCTCCCTCCCTCTCTCCCTCCCTCTCTTCCTTCCTTCCTTCCTTCCTTCCTTCCTTCTTTCCTTCCTTCCTTCCTTCCTTCTTCCTTCCTTCCTTCTTCCTTCCTTCCTTCCTTCCTTCCTTCCTTCCTTCCTTCCTCCCTCCCTCCCTCCTCCCTCCCTCCCTCCCTCCTTCCTTCCTCCTTCCTTCCTTCCTCCCTTCCTTCCTTCCTCCCTTCCTTCCTTCTCCCTCCCTCCTCCCTCCCTCCTTTCTTCCTTCCTTCCTCCTCCCTCCTTCTTTCCTTCCTTCCTTCCTTCCCTTCCTTCCTTCCTCCTTCCTTCCTTCCTTTCTTTCTTTCTTTCTTTCTTTCTTTCTTTCTTTCTTTCTTTCTTTCTTTCTTTCTCTCTTTCTTTCAATGGGGAGGAGATGGGAGTAAGAGGAAGTAAATTTTTGTTAATTTTTTTAAAAAACAAAGAAAGAGATTCCTGTGCAATCTATGATCCTCTCCTGTCCAGTCACAGAAGAATATTCTTTATATCTACTGAGATTCCCTGACTCATTCTTACTCTTCCAAATACCTCTTTCCTGCTCCCTGGAAATTCTATGGAGGCAGAGAAGGCCACTCTGGAGGCCAGAAAAGGGCAGCAGAGAAACAAGACACAGTGCAGTCTAGTGCGAAGAATGAGTGGTTTGCAAAAACAGATGATCTGGGTTAGAATCCTGCCTGTATTCTTTATTCCCTGTGTAACCTTAGATAAGTACTTTAAACTCCCCAGGCCTCAGTTTTCCTCAGTAAAATGAAGGGGTTGGACTAGATTGTCTCTGAGGTCCCTTCCAGCTCTAAATATGTGATCCTAGGATCTTAGTTAAATGACTTCATCTTCCTGGGCCTCAGTTTCTTTACCTGTAAAATGAGGGTACTGGTCTCTGAGGCCCCTTTGAGGCCTTCAGCTGTGATCTTGTGAAGACACATAATAACTCACTTCTAAAGGGCTTTCAGGCTTACAAAGAGAACTGGAGGAAAAAGAGGAGATTGGCTAGGGCCGGGGGCTCAGGGCAGCTGGTGAGTTAGAGAATGAGAAGTTCCTCCCTGGCCCCAGGCTGCTGCTTTCCCCATGAATGCAGATCTGTCTCTTCATGCCTCAGAAAATCTTATGTCTGTTCTTGACTTCTTTCCATTTTATCTCAGGATTAAGATCCTCAGGAACCCACGTGTCCCCTTCAATAGCATTAGGAGAGAGGAAAGAAAGAAGGAAGGAAGGAGAGAAGGAAGGAAGGGAGTAAGGGAAAGGAAAGAAGGAAGGAAAGAGGTGGAGAGGGAGGGAGGGACAGGTGGTCCCCCTTGCCTGTAGTATATTCCTTCCCCGCCTCTGCTCCAGAGAATCCCTAGCTTCCTTCCAAACATAGCTCAGGTGCTCCCTCCTACACTAAACCTTTCCTGATCTCTCATGATGAGCTCTCTCTCTCTCCCTCTCTCTCCCTCTTGAAATTACTTAGTATGACTTTTGAAATAGATAGATAGATAGATAGATATAGATATAGATATAGACATAGATATAGATATAGATATAGATATAGATACAGATACAGATATAGATATAGATATAGATATAGATATAGATATAGATACAGATATAGATACAGATATAGATACAGATATAGATACAGATATAGATATAGATATAGATATAGATACAGATATAGATACAGATATAGATACAGATATAGATACAGATATAGATATAGATACAGATATAGATATAGATATAGATACAGATATAGATACAGATATAGATATAGATATAGATACAGATATAGATATAGATATAGATATAGATACAGATATAGATACAGATATAGATACAGATATAGATACAGATATAGATATAGATACAGATATAGATACAGATACAGATACAGATATAGATACAGATACAGATACAGATACAGATATAGATACAGATATAGATACAGATATAGATATAGATACAGATATAGATACAGATATAGATACAGATACAGATATAGATATAGATATAGATATAGATACAGATATAGATATAGATACAGATATAGATACAGATATAGATATAGATACAGATATAGATACAGATATAGATATAGATATAGATATAGATACAGATATAGATACAGATACAGATATAGATACAGATATAGATACAGATATAGATACAGATATAGATACAGATACAGATATAGATATAGATATAGATATAGATACAGATACAGATATAGATATAGATACAGATACAGATACAGATATAGATACAGATATAGATATAGATACAGATATAGATACAGATATAGATACAGATATAGATATAGATATAGATATAGATATAGATATAGATATAGATATAGATATAGATACAGATACAGATACAGATACAGATACAGATATAGATACAGATATAGATATAGATACAGATATAGATATAGATATAGATATAGATACAGATATAGATATAGATATAGATATAGATATAGATATAGATATAGACATAGATATAGATATAGACATAGATATAGATATAGATATAGATATAGATATAGATATAGATATAGATATAGATATAGATATAGATATAGATATAGATATAGACATAGATATAGATATAGACATAGATATAGATATAGACATAGATATAGATATAGACATAGATATAGATATAGACATAGACATAGATATAGATATAGATATAGATATAGATATAGACATAGATATAGATATAGATATAGATATAGACATAGATATAGATATAGATATAGATATAGATATAGACATAGATATAGACATAGATATAGATATAGATATAGATATAGATATAGATATAGACATAGATATAGATATAGATATAGATATAGATATAGATATAGATATAGATATAGATATAGATATAGATATAGATATAGATATAGACATAGATATAGATATAGACATAGACATAGACATAGACATAGACATAGATATAGATATAGATATAGATATAGACATAGACATAGACATAGACATAGATATAGATATAGATATAGATATAGATATAGATATAGACATAGACATAGACATAGATATAGATATAGATATAGACATAGATATAGATATAGATATAGATATAGATATAGACATAGACATAGACATAGATATAGATATAGATATAGACATAGACATAGATATAGATATAGATATAGATATAGACATAGACATAGATATAGATATAGATATAGATATAGATATAGATATAGACATAGATATAGATATAGATATAGATATAGATATAGACATAGACATAGACATAGATATAGATATAGATATAGACATAGATATAGATATAGATATAGATATAGATATAGATATAGACATAGATATAGATATAGATATAGATATAGATATAGATATAGACATAGATATAGATATAGATATAGACATAGATATAGATATAGATATAGATATAGATATAGATATAGACATAGATATAGACATAGATATAGATATAGATATAGATATAGACATAGACATAGACATAGACATAGACATAGATATAGACATAGATATAGATATAGATATAGATATAGACATAGATATAGATATAGATATAGATATAGACATAGATATAGACATAGATATAGATATAGATATAGATATAGATATAGATATAGATATAGATATAGATATAGATATAGATATAGATATAGATATAGATATAGATATAGATATAGATATAGATATAGATATAGATATAGATAGATATAGATATTTTTTACTTCTTTGTGTACATGTGGCTTCCTTCCTGTAGCAGGCAAGCTCCTTGAAGACAAAGACTTATTTTTTTTCTGTGTAGCCTTGGCATGTAGCACAGTGCCCAGCATACAGTAGGCACTTAATTAATGCTTGTTGAACTGAATTCAATTTTTCTGCCAAAGAGTATTTCTATCTATCCCTGACTAGTGGATGGGAGAGCAGGACTACATGTGAAGGTTCAGCTTGGTCAAGGACAGGATGGGGGCTTCTTCTCAGACATCCTCTTCTCAACCTCCACCAATGGTCCCAAATGAAATAGTTAGCCAGTGTGCTGGCAGTATCTAGGGCAGATGACAGGGTGGCATACAATACAGATTCTCACTGTGAGTCCATGGCTAAAAAAAGAGACCATTTAATTCCATTTCTCCAGGCTGGAATCTTCCTTTCTCTCCTTCTCTTTTTCCCTCATCTCTCTTTTCAGAGGCAGGGCTACGTCAATTAAGGATGGGTTGGGATGGGGAGTTCAGAGGCTTGAAAAGCAGCTACATATGCCTTTTTTTTCTTGCCACATTTAGCTTGGCCTTGGTGAGTGACAAGCTGTATCAGCGGAAAGAACCCCTCATCAGCTCAGTGCAAACCAAAGTGAAAGGCGTAGCAGAGGTGAAGGATGCGAACGCCAAGACAAGAGTGTTGGACACAGCTGATTACACGTTTCCTTTGCAGGTGAGGGTCCATGCTCTAGAATGTGAAGGGCAGAGGGTTACCTTTCTCTGCCATGGCCCCAAGAACCTCTCCCCTTCTGTCTTGGGTGGGATCATTTAGGTCCTAACCTAAGATTAAAAAAAAACCCTCATAAAACCTTAACCTCATTAGTACAAGATGGAAGAGGTCGTTAGAATGCAGAATCTCTGAAAAAAAAAAAGACCTGGGGCAGCTAAGCGGTACAGTAGATAAAGCCCTGGACTTGGAGTCAGGGAGACTCGAATTCAAATGTGATCTCAGATACTTACTAGCTGTGTGACTCTGGGCAAGTCACTTTATCTCTGTCTACCTCAGTCTCCTTGCCTGTAAAATGGGGATAGTAATAGCTTTCCCCCAGGGTTTTTGTGAGGATCAAATGAAATAATATTTGCAAAGTGCCTGGCACATAGGGGGTGCTTAATAAATGCTTATTAATTTTTTAAAAATCTGGATGTTTTAGTGTGAGAGAACACCTATTTGAGGGTACTCAGTTGAGGGACATGGTGTCCAAGACCAGGGAAGAGATCATTCCATTGTGTTCTATCCTACTCAAACCACATCTAGAGTTCTGTGTTCAGTTCTGAGTCCCACATTTTAGGGAAGATGTTAATTAGCTGGAGAGCATCTGAGTGATGGAAATCAGGATGACGAAGGACCTCAAGTTCATGCCATATGAGGGCTGGTCGAAGGAACTGGAATTGTTTACCCTGGATAAGAGAAGGCTTGGTTGGAGGGAACTTTATAGCTCTCTCTCCAAATGTTTGAAGAGCCGTTCCATGGAAGATGGATTGGACCTGTTCTGATTGGCCCCAAAAGGCAGAACTAGGCACAATGTTTAGAAGCTGCAAAGAGGAAAATTTGGGCTTGATCTAAAGAAAAACTCCCCCCCCCCCAGTATAATGGAAACGTGCAAAAGTAGAAGCTATCTCAAAAAGGAAAGGGCTACTCCTAAAGGCTAGGGGTTTCCCCCCACCTTAAAGGTCTTCAAGTAAGGGTGAATTTTTGTCAAAGATATAGAAGGGATTCCAATCTATACCTGGTTAGGTAGAGGCTACAATAGGTGGTTTATGAGGTCCCTTCCAAATCTAAAAGTCTGTAGTTGGGTGATTCAAGAATCTTTTGTGGGCCCCACCTATGTCCAATTCAATTCAGTCCAACATAACAAATATTCATTAAGCACTATGTACAAAGCACCCACTGGGTGATGGGGATACAAAGACAAAAAAAACAAAAAACCTGTACTTACCTTTAAGGAACTTACATTGAATTTGGGTGGAGGTGGGGTATAATAGGGACACAGCTAAGTAAATGGGTTTTGAGAAGGGGCCACATACTGGCCACTGCGGAGGGTGGGGAAGATTCCTAAACTGAGCCTTGAAGGATAATAAAGATTCAGGGAGAGGGAACAGAATTGAGGAGGGAGGGTATTCTAGACATAAGGGACAGCTTGGGAAAATGTAGGAAGATGTGAGATGGAATAAGGAGCTTGGAAAAATGGTCCAGTTAGGCTGGAAAAGTGGCGTGTGTGAAAGGGAATAATGTGAATAAGGCTGGATAGTATCAGAGGATCATAGGGTTAGAGCTGGGAGGGACTTTAGAGGCAATGGGGTTCAACACCTCCATTTGAAAGGAGGAAGAAAGGAAGGAGAGAAGGAGGAAGGAAATAAGGAGGGAGGAAGTGAAGGAGGGAAGGAAGGGAGAAGGGAAGGAAAGAGGAAAGGAGGAAAGTAAGGAAAGATGGAAGGAGGGAAGGAAGAAAGGAAGGAGAGAAGGAAGGAAGAAAGGAAAGATGAAAAGAAGTAAGGAAGGAGGCTAGGAAGGAAGAAAAGAAGGAAGGAAGGAAAAAAGCATTTATTATGTACCTAATACATGCCAGGGATTGTGCTAAGCAATTTACAAATATTATCTCTTTTGATCCTCACAATAATGCTGCAAAGTAGGTGCTTTCCATTTTACAGTTGAGGAAACTAAGGCAAATAGCAGTTAAGTTGACTTGCCCAGAGTGACATAACTAATAAGTGTCTGAGGTTGGATTTGAACCCAGGTCTTCTTGACTCGAGGCTCAGATAAAGAAAATGAGACAGAGTTTAATAACTTGCCTTGCATTGAACAGCTGATGTTTGAGGTGGAATCTGAATCCAGGTCCTCCTGACTCTGAGCGCAGAGTCCCATCTCCTACGCCAGGTTAGCTTTTAGAAAAGATAAGTTGGTGCTGCCTACAGAAGCTCCCAAATGTCAGGCTGAGGGGTATATAGTGAATCCCGAGGCACTAGGGCTCTGTTTACAGTTATTTAGCAGATAAGTGACATGTTCAGAGCTGTGCCTTAGGAAGATTAATTTAGCAATCGTGTGGGGGAGAGTTTGGTGAAGGGAAAGTCTAGAAGCTGGGAAACCAATTAAGAAGTCGTTACAATAAACCAGATAGAAGGGGTGAGCGGCCATATGGGTAGAGAGAGACAGGGAATCAATGCCAGCAGTATCGTGAAGATGGAATGAGCGAACAGTGCTCAGCAAATGACAGACTGTTGGAAATGATTGGATATTGAGGATCCAGAGAAGAGCAGATTTTGAGAGTTGGAAGAGACCTCCCTGGCCTTGTGGGATAACCCATGCATGAAGGAACCCTCGCTATAGCAGAAAAGAGCTAACCCCTTGCATGACAGATATCCAAATACTTGAAGATGGCTACCATGTCCCCACCCACCACCCCAAGTCTTCTCCTGGTTAAACGTGCTAGTTCTTTCAACTATTCCTCATATGTCATGGACTTAAGGCTCTCACCCATCCTGGTAGCCACCTTCCAGTTTATCGATGTCTTTCTTAAATAGTTACATATATAGATAGATATAAAATTTATTTATGTAAGTTATTATTATTATTATTATTTTTAGTGAGGCAGTTGGGGTTAAGTGACTTGCCCAGAGTCACACAGCTTGTGAGTGTTATGTGTCTGAATCCAGATTGAACTCAGGTCCTCCTGACTTCAGAGCCGGTGCTCCATCCACTGCACCCTCTAGCTGCCCCTACAAGTTATTATTCTTAAACAGAATTCAACACAATAATCCAGACGACAAAGTCCAAATAACTTACCCAAGGTCATACTTGGGGAGTAAGGACTGCAATGAAGATCATGGGGTCATAGTACCATAGATCCTCTGACTTTAAAGTATAGCATCCTTTCTGTTCTGCTAGACTGTTCTGGTTTTTTTTTTTATCCTTTTATTTTTTCAAGGGTTTTTCAGTCGTGTTCAACTCTCTGTGACCCCATTTGGGATTTTCTTGGCAAAGATATTGGTTTGCCATTTCCTTCTCCAGCTCATTTTCCAAATGAGGAAACTGAGACAACAGAGTTAAGTGACTTGCTCAGGGTCACACAGGTATTAAGTGTCCGAGGCCAGAATTGAACTCAGGAGGATGAGTCTTCTTGACTCCAGGCCCAGCGCTCTGTGCACTATGGCACCACCTAGCTGTACTGGTAACCTTTGCAAAAACATTTTCAGTAGAGTGGTAAGGGTCCGGGTCCCAGATGCATAGGGTCAGACCTACAGCCAGAAGGAACCTCAGAGGGCATCTAATTGGGGTTAAGAAGAGAATGGGTGGTGAGGCAGCAACATGACTCTTCCTAGGAGTTTAAAGTTAAAGAGCACGAAGATTTGGGATCGTAACTTGAGGGGATATAGGCCAATGTCAAATGAGGTTTTTTTCGTTTGTTTTTTAAGGTATGTGAAGGAAAGAGTCATTAGATAGGAGAAATTGAAAATGGGAGAGAAAGGGAATGACCGAAGATAAAATGTTCTAGGAGAGATATGAGGAGACAGAATTAAGGGAAGAAACTGCTCTGTGGTGTGTATGTATGTGTGTGTGCGCGCGCGTGTGTGTGTGTGTGTGTGTGTTGGGAGAAATGTCGCCTTGACTAAGAAAAGCATCACATCAGAGACTGAAGCAGAGGACAGGATGCCTGAAGACACATAGAGATGTGAATTTGGAATCACATTCCATCTCAGACACTTGTACCAGTTGTGAGACCCTGGTAAGTCACTTAACCATTCTGTGCCTCAGTTTCTTCATCTGCAAAATGAAGGCATAAGACCTGACCTCCAAGATCCCTTTTTGCACTAAATCTATAATCTTGATGATTCTGTGAGATGAGGACCTTCACGATGGTTGGCCTCGATCTCAGGTATTAAGGAGGCAAGGCTGTCTGTTGAGAGATCCCTGTGGATGGGGGAAGGACCCTTAGGCACAGAAGAAAATATAAGAAGTGGCATTCCTAATATAGCCCAGAAGATCAATTTGAGGGCGATTATTTACCCTAGCACAGCTCCTACATTCTTGTCTCTCTTTTCTTTCCAGGTAAACTCATTCTTTGTGATGACTAACTTCATAGCCACGGAAGGCCAGACACAAGGACTCTGTCCTGAGGTAAGGGAGGGCTGTGAGTTTTAGGGGTGGGGATGACAGATGGTCTATCATGCACAGGCCTGTTTTCTAGCCCGATGGGGTAGAGAGAGGCCTCTCTCTGCATGTTGCATTTTCAGGTTGGAGGCTGGGAGAGAGGGCTGGGAGGGGGAGGCTGGAAGGAATTTACTGGGAAAGGTGAGTGTGGGGACACATTAAGGAATGCTCCTAAAGACTCAGTGTCCCTGGCTGGAGATGCGAAGAGCCCAACATCTACATGAAACACGCTCTGCTTATCTACATCCTCCTTGGAGGGGGGAAATGACGTATGTGCAGAAAACTAAATTTAAAAAATATAAAAAGAAGACATAAAGTAATTTCTAAGGGGAGGTGCTAGCAGTTAGGAGAGCAGAACTGGCTTCCTATAGAAGTAGCACTTGGGTTGAGCCTTGAAGGGGAGAATTCTAAGAGATGAAGGTGAGGAGGAAGAGCATTCCAGGCATGGGCGTAGCCTAGGAAATGATGAGACATGGGAGATGGAGGGAGCAGGCTGGTTTGGCTGGAACAGAGAGTGCAGCTGCAACTGCTCAAAGCCTCAGAGTCTTCATCTTTAAAATGGGTATAATAAGACACACATCGCCTTTTTCACGTGTTTGGTTTTGGGTTTTTTTTTTTTGGTTGAGGCAATCAGGATTAAGTGACTTGCCCAAGGTCACACAGCTAATCAGTGTCAAGGGTCTGAGGCCAGATTTGAACTCAGGTTGTCCTGACTGCAAGGCTGGAGCTCTATCCAGTGTGTGACCTACTGCCCCCTTCACATGGTTTTTTGAGTGATTGTTGTCAAGCCTGCTTTGTGCTGTACAAGTTAACAGTTCTAGTTTTAACCCTCTGGGAATCTAATGGGGTTGGCTGTTGTCCTTTGTTCTCAAAGAGGACCAGAAAGACAACGCTATGTCGGGGTCAGGGTATGGTGTGTCTGACCGTGGCTGATTAGACCGATTCAAGCTCGAATGCCGTACCCCAGGTTGGACACAGTCGATATAGGATTCTAATATGATACACTCACTAACCCACACTGATGCTCTCTCTCCCCATTCACTCCCAATCACTGGCAATGTAAGTGAATCTAAAAAAAGTTGATTTTAATTTCAGTTTCCAGTTTTCTTCCTCCCTCCAACCCTTCTCCCGTCTATTTTGAGATCAAGAAATGTGATACTCATTTTACATATGAAGTTGTGCAAGACCTATTTTTCCACATTAGCCATGTTTTTTTTTAAAGGCAAGGAAAATAAAGAGAGAAAATAAAATATGCTTCAATCTGTGCTCTGAGACCATCAGTTCTCTATCTGGAGCGTTTTAGTGTAAGTGAATTTTAACAGTGGTCTCCTGGAGATAATGCTTCAATCCAAAGAACTCTTTGTGGCCCAGTGGATAGAATGCTGGACTTGGAATGAGGAAGACCTAGGTTTGAATCCTGCCTCAGACACCGTACTAGCTGTATGACTGTGCATACATTGCCTAACTTCTCTGTGCCTCAGTTTCCTTATCTGTAAAATGAAGGGGTTGAACTTGATGGCCTCTTCTAGGTCCAAATACATGATCTCAAGGCTGCCCAGAGGAAGATATTTTCTAGGGGCACAGGACTTGGTTTCTCTTCAAACAGCATCAGTGCCTGTTTGCTATGGTCAACTGAGATAATATACATAAAGTAATTTGCAAATTTTAGGGTGCTATGTGTTGTTGTTTCAGTCATTTCAGTCATGCCCAACTCTTGGTGACCCCATTTGGGATTTTCTTGGCAGAGATTCTGGAGTGGTTTGCCATTTCCTTCTCCAGCTTATTTTACAGATGAAGAAACTGAGGTAAACAGGGTGAAATGACTTGTCCAGGGTCACACAGCTAGTACATGTCTGAGGCCAGATTTAAAGTCAGGAAAATGAGTCTTCTCCTGGTCCAGCACTTTATCCACTGTGCCACCATTTATCATCAATCATGAATATGAGTGTAGGTGCTCACTCTGGTCACGTGCCTGTATTTCCTAACCCAGTCGCAGCATAGAGCATCCATTTTCTCCCAGCCCAAAGCCAAACTGACATCCCCTTGAGTTGCCTACCTCAGTAGCGGGCACTCCTCTTGGCTAGCTGTTCCTTTTCTCCATGTCTTACGCCCCCACCTTCCTGATGAAGTGGGCAGCCACTTCCATTGAGTACTTCCTGCCTCCCCCCAATTCCCAGCAGAGACTCTTCCAGCTTTGAAGCCAAGCTAAGCTGATTTCCAGGCCACATGGCTCTTTGCAGGCTCCAGTTCTCTTTTTGGCAAGAAAAGTGTATTCTTCCTTCACATGCATTGATTTGCCAAAGCCCTGTTTAAGTAATAGAAGCTTAGGAGTCAGTCTATCAAAGAAGAGAATATTTCTGGTAAGCACAGTGAATAATTGCTGCACCCCAAAGAGCCTGGGGAAACACATCCCTAAGTCCAGAAACACCAAGTACTGTGAAGTATCCACCATTGGTCCTTATTCCTGGAGATTGTACTTTTCACAAGTTGGTATTTATTTCCTGTTGGTATGGTGACCCACACTCCATCTCTTATCACCAGGGGAATAGTAATAGTCCTTCATATAGACAAATCTTTTTATAAATGGCTTTTACAGACTCTACATTATTTCCTTTGAACCTCTTACCAACCATTTGAGGCAGGCCTTATTTTCCCAATTTTATATAAGGGAGAACTAAAGCTCAGAGGGTGTAAGTCCAAGACCATGCAAATAATTAGAGGCAGGATTGGTACCAGAAAAAGTCTGGGATTTAGATCCCAAGGACCTAGTTTTGTTGGGGTTTTTTTGTCCATTTATTTATTGTAATATTTTTTTCCAACTATATGTAAAGAACATTTTTAATGTTCATTTTTACAAAATTTTGAGTTCCAAATTTTTCTCCCTCCCCTCCCCGCTTCCTAAAATGGTAAGCAATTTGATATAGGTTATATATGTGCAATTGTATAAAACATATTTCCATATTAGTCATGTTATGAAAGAAGAAACAGACCAAAAGGGAAAACACACACACACACACACACACACATACACACACACAAAATAAAATGAAAATAGTGTGCTTCAATTTGCATTCAGATCATCAGTTCTTTCTCTGGAGGTGGTTACAGTTTCCATTAAGAGTCTTTTGGAATTGTCTTGGATCATCGTACTGCTGAGAAGAGCTAAGTCATTCACAGTTGATCATGATACAATGTTGCTGTTACTGTATACAATGTTCTCCTGGTTCTGCTCATTTCACTTTGCATCAGTTCATGTAAGTCTTTCCAGGTTTTTTTGGAAATCCACCTGCTCCTCATTTCCAAGGACCTAGTTTTGATACCCATCTCTGTCCCTTACTGTTTGTATGACCTTGGACAAGTCCCTTTACTCCTTCTGGGCCTCTGTTTCCTCATCTGTAAAGTAAGGGGGTTGCTCTAGGCTCCTTACAGCTCTAGATCTAGGATCCCATGAGCTCATGAACCCAGGTTGTTGCTACTCTTCCCCCTTAACGACACAATCATTTGATATGCAGGGTGTCCCAAAGGTCTCAGTGCAGTTTTAAGCTTTATTAGCTAAAGCCTAAGTTCTTAAAACTTCACTAAGACTTTAGGACAACCCATTGAACCAATTCTCAATTACGTATTAAGATGGAAGAGGAAAAATATGTCAGATAGTCACAAATATCAGGCAGTAAAGAAACATGTGGTGCAGAGTTAAGAGCAAGGAATATAGTCCCAGGATCTAGATTCAAAGTCTGACTTGGCCACTTACTCCCCCAGATAACTTCAGGCAAATCATTTAACCTCTCAGGAGCCGATTTTCCTCATCAGTGAAACGGGACTTCCAAAGTCCCTTCTAGTTTCAAATCTTTGATCTTATGATTTCTTATTATTAATTTTAGAGTTGGGGAATCTTCTTAGAATTTCTTTTAGAATCAGTTGGGGAATTGCTGAACAAGTTGTGATATATGAATGTAATGGAATACTATTGTGCTATAAGAAATGACGAGCAGGCAGACTTCAGAAAAACCTGGAAAGATTTGAATGAACTGATGCTGAGTGAAGTGAGCAGAACCAGGAGAACATTGTACACAGTAACAGCCACGTTGTACAATGACTAACACTGATAGACTCATTTCTTGTTAGCAAGGCAAGGATCCAAGACAACTCCAAAGGACTCATGGTGGAAAATGCTGTCCACATCCAGAAAAAGAACTATGGAGTCTGAATGTAGATCAAAGCATATTATTTGCTCTCTTTTTTTCCTTTTCTTTTCTTTTTTTGTTTGCTTCTTCTTTCTTGTGGTTTCTCCCATTGGTTCTAATTCCTCTTTACAACATGGCTAATGTGAAAATAGGTTCGATATGAATGTATATGTAGAGCCTGTATCAGATTGCAGGCTGTCTTGGGGTGGGGGGAGGGGAGAGATGAGGAGAAAATTTAGAACTCAAAATCTTACGGAAGTGAGTGTTGAAAACTAAAAATAAATTAATTACTTTTTTAAAAATCCAAGGTGAATACTAAAATATATATATATATATTTTTAGAATGCGCCATAGAGTAAATTTACTTTCCTCACTAAACTTTGCTCATACTGCTGTTAAAATAAGCTCGCTTTCCCTGAACCCATGTTGGTGGACCATGGAGGTGAGGAACCTAGATGTGTGCTGATTAGATATTGTGAAGACAGCTGGAAGGAAACTCAAGTGGTCATTTGGTCAATCAATTAGTCAATTAATAAACTTGTTGTGCCAGGCTTTGGGTGTAGAAGTACAAAGAATGAAAAAATGCCTACTCACAGCATGCTTACATTCCATTCCCTGTACTTTATAGATAAGGAAACAGAAACCTTAGAAAAGTCATATGACGTACCCAAGGTCACAAAGACAAAAGTCAGAATTTGAACTCAGGTCTTGGGTTTGTTGATTCTGAGCCGAAAGGGACTTTCGTTTTTTGGTGAGCCAGTTGGGATTAAGTGACTTGCCCAGGGTCACACAGCTAGCAAGTGTTATGCGTCTGAGATCACATTTGAACTCAGGTCCTCCTGACTCCAAGGCCACAGCTCTATCCACTGCGCCACCTAGCTGCCCCTTGAAAAGGATTTTAAAAGTCATCTTGTCCAACTTCCTCATTTTACAGATCAGGAACGTGGCTAGTGACAAGTGGCAGAGCTAGGAGTCAAACCCAGGTCTTCCAACTCACATTCCAGCGCTGTTTCCATCATGCCAAAGGACCTCTATTTTCTACAGAAAAATCACAAAGCATAGACTCAAAGCTGTTTCAATCTAACAGACTTGTGTTCGGGTAGGGCATATGGAAATGTGCAAGTCATTGCTAGGCCTTCAATGCATGAAGAGGAAAACAAAAAAAACATTAATTTTCGCAAGTGGGCACTCATCCTACCTCCAAAAGCCCTTCCCAGAAATCTCTTTGAATTGTTTGCCTGTCTTTCTGGCTGCCCTTGGGGGCAGCTAAGTGGTATGGTGGATAGAGGGCCAACCCTGGAGTCAGGAAGACCTGAGCTGGAGAAGAAAATGGCAAACCACTCCAGTACCTCTGCCAAGAAAACCCCCAATGGGGTCATGAAGAGTTGGACATGAGTAAGTGACTGAACAACGATGACACGTGTCACCCCCCCCCCCCACATTCTGCTGGGTGAAGCTCAGGTCCGACCTCATTACTCAGGCCAGCTAAGGCTGCTGGCTCATGTCCTACCTGCATCCCCTGCTGATTCTTTCTGTTGAGATGCTCAGTCTTTGATCCCTTATTCAGCCCTCAAGCCAGTGGAATATTTAGAGCAGGCCTCCTCCTCCCTAGCAAATGGTTTCTCTCTGGCTATCACTAAAGAAAGTCCCGCAGTGACTGACATCCTATTTAAAGTAATAATAGCTCTTATATCCCTATCATTTTAAGACTTATAAATTATTTTCCTTACACAACAGCCCTGTGTGACAAGTGATACAAAAAAAAAAGCTGCTCACCAGGTAGGTTGCAAGAAAGATTTCTAATTGGGTACAAGTTGGCCTGGATCGCCTCTGAGCATTCTTTCATCTCTGAGATTTTGTAAAATCATCCCCATTTAACAGATGAGGAAACTGAGAGATAAAAGGACTGCCTCCCTCCCACTCCCCAACAAGGTTATGTAGCTGCTAGGTGGTAGTGCTGTGACTTTCTAAATTCAGCATGGTTGCTTACTCTGTTTTGTCCTGTCCTTTCCTCTGCAGTACCCCACCCGTAGGACTCTCTGTTCCAATGACTGGGGGTGTCAAAAAGGGAAGAAGGACCCGCTGAGTAAAGGTATCTGTTTTTTCAAGTTCCTAAGACTGGGTGATGGAAAGCTGAGTTGTGGGTGAGACATCAACACTCTATCTCCCTTTCCTGATTACGTAAGTGTTTTAAGGAGGCACGATTCAAACTAGGGCCCCGGTGGTTTAGGTTAAATATTGGAACAGAATGAGATGTTCATGGAACATTGAGCAGTTAACAAAAGATTTTACTTAGGCATAGCCAAGGAAGGACATTCAGGACAGAGGAAAGGTATTCCATGAGGATAGATCCTCCATTCAGCTGAGCACAGCTGTCCTATGCTGGTGTTACTTACCCTGCTGGTCTACATTTAGGAGGAGCCTAAGGAGGAGCTGGATCACCTCATGGTCTGGTGGTTTTTTGTATTCTGGTCAGTGGACCGAGCCTTAGGTCAGTTTTGGGGAAAACTAGCCTTAACTGCGCAGGAAGGGGCCTTAGGATACTGCTCCCACCACACCTGAGCCTCTGGTAGGACCAAGGTGCCTTGCCTTAGGTGGTGCAGTAGATGGAATGCTGGGACTGAAGGCAGGAAGCCCTCAGTCCAAACCCAGCCTCAGACACTTACTAGTGGTGTGACCCTGGGCAAGTCACTTAACCTCAGTTTCTTCAACTATAAAATGGAGATGCTAATAGCACTTAAGTTCTTCCCAGCTTGTTGTGAGGATCAAATGAGAAAATATTTGTATAACACTTAGTTGGTGCTTAACAAATGCTTCATTCCCTCCTTTCTCACTTACCACCACCATCAGGCCAATAACTCTTCAGAAACCAGTTTATAGCAAAATCATTGCCCCCTCTTGTGGTAAAGCCTGGTAGCGCATCATTCACAACACCAGAGTGAGCATCCTTGACTGACGTGGGCAACGTATAATGTGCTAGAAAATGCTCCCAAACACTGCCTGCCATCAGGGAGCTTTCTTTAGAAGAAGCTCAAATGAATGATCAATTAATAAGAATTTGTTAAATTGTTCAATTATTGTGAAAGCAGACACCATCAAGGTAAGCTCTTTTCTTTAAGTCCCTGCCCTCAAGGAGCTTAAATTTTATTGAAGAAAACAGCATGTGCCCATATAAGCATAATGGGAGTGGGGGAGCTACTATTAGCAGCTGGGGGTTCAAGGATAAAAGGTGGCTCTTGATTAATAATTTGACTTTACTAAGTTGGTAAGGATGTACTTTTGTCTGTGTTGTTTCAATTACATGGATTATTATAAATGGATGCAAACCATGAGAGAGGAAAATGTTACTAAAAATCGAGAGGCCCAACATTGGCCCAAAACACAAAGGAAAGAAGGAAGGAAAGAAGAGAAGTCAGGGATTCTAAAAGTGGGAGGTATTCCAGGCATGGTAGGATGGTATATGCCAAGGTATGGAGATAGATGACGCAATGTCAATCAGCCATTAAGTATTTATTAAGCACCTACGATGTAGCAGGCACTGTGCCAAATAGCAAGTGAAACAATTGGTTGGAACATAGAGTACACGAAGGGGAGGGATGTACAATAAACCTGGAGAAGTAGGCTGGAGTCAGACCATAAACAAGCTTTAAATGTCAGAAAGAGAAGTTTTTATGTTTTCCTAAAGGCAACAGAGAGTCACTGGACCTTTTTGAACAAGGTAGTGATGTGGTCAGAACTGGCTATAGGCGATTGACTTCTAACTGGTCTCCCTGACGTCAGCTCTCTTTCCTGCCAAGTCCACACTTTGAATCACCTCACCATCCTCTCCCCATTCTTCTTCTCTGTTTCAGTCTCTGATGAAAAGACGACCCTTCTTGCCAACACCAACCACTCTACTTGTGCCCTTGAACCTATTACATTTCCTATGGCAGATCGCCTTCACAATCATTTGCTGTTTCTCCCCAATCTTCAATCTCTCCTTGTCTCCTGGCTCCTTCTCTGATACCTGGAATCATGCCCCAATCTTCTCCATCCTTAAGAACACTTCACCTTGTAATTCCTTCATCTTACAACATACTCCTGTTTCACAGCTAACCACCTCAAAGAAGCTGTCTACACTTTCTTACCTCTCACTCCTCAGCTCCTTGCAATTTGGCTTCCAAGTCCAAGACTCAGTTGAGGCTGCTCTCCAAGGTTGCCAATGATATCATAGCTGCAGTTCTCAACCCAATGGCCTCTCTGTAGCAACCAAAACTATTGGCCAATCTCTCTATCTAGATACTCTTGCTTCTGTAGATTTTCTTGACGTTGATCAGTGGTGGTTCTCTTCATACTTGTTGGGACAATGCTTCTCCTGTGTGACTGGAAGGATGGTAGTGCCAAAAGAAATTTGGAAAGTGACATGTTTAGGGGAGTGTGCGCCGTGTGTGTGTGTAGATAATGAGCTCTGTTTAGGACAAGTTGAGTTTTATATGCCTATGGGACCTCCAGATGGAAATGCCCAATAATCATTTAGTGACGCAGGACCACAGCTCAGGAAGAAGTCTAGGGCTGGGTTTATAGCTTTGGAGTTATCTGCATAGAATTGGCCATTGAACTCATGGGAACAGTTGAGATCATGAAAGAGAGTCTAGAGAGAAGGGCCTGGGACAGAGCCTTTGAGTACACCCATGAGTGCGTCCACATGGGATATGGATGATGGTCCAGCAAAGGAGGCAGAATAGGATTGGGCAGCCAGGTAGGAGGAGAGCGAGACACATTTTCATCTCTTTTAATGCTTCTGTTGCTCCATAGAAAAGAACTTCTTGGGTCTTCCTTGGGTTAGTTGATGTAAGTTTCTGTTTGGGTTTAATGGGGAATCTAGAGAAAAGATTTTCTCAATGGCCTCGATTTGAGGCAGGGAGTTGGGTTGTGTGATATCTAAGAGGTCCTTTACCTCTCTGAGAATATGTGGTTCCTACAGGGATTCAGACAGGAAAGTGTGTGCAGTACAACGCAACCAAAAAGACCTGCGAAGTCTCTGCCTGGTGTCCCGTAGAACTAGAAAGAGATCCTCCTCGGTAAGTAAGAAGTGTTATCCATTTCTACCTCCCCCAGTGTCTTAACACAGGTGAATTGTAAAATACAGGTTGTTGTAGTTTGCACCTCCCAACTCCAGGGATTTTCTGATTCTATTTGGTGCATAGTAGGTATTTGATCAATGTTTGTTGAATGAACAACTAAGTGAATGAATGGATCAGCCAGTGACTTGAATCTGTGCCTGCAAAGACAAAACAGAACCTAAGGCTGTGCCTGATTTTTGTGGGATCAAGTCAAGCTGAGGCAGCAGGTAGGCAGCTAGTATGTAGCCTAGACTTGCATATAGACACAGCTGGTCTCTACCCAGAAGCTGCTTAACACGAAAGGTGGAGCCCAGGAAGCATAGAGCCATTGGAGTGTAATAGATAAAGCACTAGACCTACAATTTCCTCCATCATCAGATCTCTGGTATCTGAGATCACTGTGTTCCTCCACCACACATAGAAAGTGGATCAAAGGCTCTAGATAGTCATATCAAAGGAGTATAGGATAACTAATAGACAGGGAAGTTGCCCATTCATATCTGTACAATGGTGGTGGTGATGGTGGTGGGGATTAGGGAAGATTTCATTAGGTAGACACCTTGGGAAAAATATCTGGGAAGATAGAAGTAGGGTGGCTGGTTTCTGACCCTTCTTAACCCCCAACCCAAGAAACCCAAGACATCATTACAGTAGGCTAGGGACAGATAATGAGATGTTAAACTAACCTTAAAGATGTGTCTATGCATGGTATTGCTTCACTAAGTGTGAAGCTGTTTTCTTTTTTTGAATTGGAAGGAGTGATTGGCCTTGGCTCAAGGAAAACTGGTTATACCAATCGCTGGTAGTCCCTTAAAAGGCTGAGCTCTACAGTTTCGCGGGAGTCTAGGGGGCAAACATCCATAGAGCTGGAACCCCATCCCTGAAAAGGAATGATTTTTCACCTCTTGAGGGGGGAGGGGAAAGGGAGATTTTTTTTCTATCCTCTACACTATGCCTCAGTTTCTTCATCTGTAAAATGAAGTGGTTATACTAGATGGCTTCTGAGGTCCCTTCCAGTTCTAAACTCATGATCCTGTGAGGCAATTAGAGCTATTTTCTTGGCAGACCTAGCTCTTCTTGAAGCTTATACCCTTCACCATTCACCCATACCTCCAGTCCATAATAACCTTTCTTATCTTAGAATCTCACAAACCACTTGGTTTGCATTTCTCTTTGGATTTTCCAAAGATTATTTTGTATCATGGTTCTTTCTGTGTTTGCCAGATCCCCTTACTAGACTGAGACCGTCTCATTAACCTTTTTCTCTCAGCTGTCATGGTGCCCTCCTGATAGGAATTGCTTAAATAAATCTTTCCTGATATTGTCAAAGATTTGGTGATTTGGAGCTGGGCCATGGTCATTACCACTCGTTCTGTTTCTTCCTCCCAGGCCAGCTCTTCTAATTAGTGCCGAAAACTTCACTGTGCTCATTAAAAACAACATTGATTTCCCAGGCCACAACTACACCACGTAAGTGTTCTAAGTTCCTGACTCAGCTTTAAAAAAAAATAAGGTGAACGCAATGTCTTAATGAGAATTGTTTTGTTTTTCTTCTTCTAAAAATAGAATTCCTTTTTTTGCAGAAGAAACATTTTACCAGGTGTCAATATTACTTGTACGTTTCATAAGACTCGGAATCCACAGTGTCCAATCTTCCGGCTGGGAGATATCTTCCGAGAAGTAGGAGAAAATTTTTCTGATGTGGCTGTACTGGTAAACAAAGTCATTTTTTTTTGGCAAAGAAGAGTACCTGTGCCTATGATTTCTTGCCTTAAAAGAGCTGGAGTTTAAAGTAGTGTAAGGCGAAGACCACCATGAAGACCGAACATATCCATGAGGTGTCATGTCATGGGTTACTCTTCAGTAGCTCATGTCATTACTGCTCCCTCCCTTCAAGATAATGAGAAACAGCATTCCACATGTCATTAGGCAAAGGTTTAATGAATAAAATGAATCTAGCCAAGGCTTCAAGCCTAGAAAATTTTCATAAGACTCTTCATTGGTGGAGAGAATAATGGCAAGCCCAGGTTACAATAATAACATCATCATCATCATCAATAGCATTTACATAGTGCTTTAAGGCTTGCAAAGCTAATTTAATCATCCACATGGGGTGAGGGCTATCCTCCTGAGACTAATGACTAGGAGTAGAATTGAGGACATCGAATTGTATATCACCCTTCTCTATATGTTGTCTCCCCATTAGAGTGTAAGCTTCTTGAGCACAGGAGCTACCTCAATTTTTGTACTGGCGTCCTTAGCTCCTAGCATCATGCTTGGCTGCTATTAATCAATGGACAAGTATTTATTAAATGCGTATTATGTGCCAGACACTATGCTAGGAACTGGGGATATAAGTACAGAGAATGAAACTCACAAGGAGGTTGCATTCTAATGGGAGAGACAAGTATGTAAAAATATATGGTATAAATATTAAGTAAATAGGTATACACACACAAAGTAGTTAAAAACAAGGTAGTTCAGGAGGGAGGACACTAGCAATTGGGGCAATCCGGTTTCATGAAGGATATGGCACATAATAAACTCTTAAAAGTAATACGTTTCATCCATCCATTCTTAAGACTGAACATTACCTTGTCCTTGTAATATACAAATTAAGGGATTTAGAAAATGGTAGTTTCTTCAGAATTGAGATATATGAGAACATCAGCTCTTTGGTGGCACAGAGCATTTGACTTTTGGTCTTCTATCCCCAGCACTTAGAATAGATGCTTGTCACATATAGGTGCTTAAGAAATACTTGTTGATTGATTTGTGGGGGTGGTTTCTTCCTTTGGGTTCAGCTGTATTCTTTTCAGCTAGGTGGTGCAGTGGATAGAACACTGGGCCTAGAGTCAGGAAGACCCGAGTTCAAATTTGTCCTCAGACACTTACTAGCTGTGTGACCCTGGGCATGTCAGTTTGCCATGTTTGCCTTACTTTCCTCATCTGGAAAATGAGCTGGAGAAGGAAATGGCAAACCACTCCAATATCTTTACCAAGAAAACCCCAAATGGGGTTAGAGACATGGAATCTTAGAGTTAGAAGGATCCTCAGTGGTCACCTAATCCGTTCCCTACCTCAGAAAGAATCCCCATTATAACATTCCCAAATGAGTGTTCATTTAGTTGTATTGAATGCCAGTTATGCTACGGGGAACACGGAGAGTACAGAATAAAATACACTCTCTGCCTCAAGGGTCTTAGAATTGAGTTGAAGACATGGGAAATACACAAATAAGAAAGGGCACTAATGATATTAGACAGCAATGGATAATATTAGATGAGTAGAGTGGATAGTAAATGCCAATGGTGGAGTGGGCCACTTTGGACTGTGTTTCTTGGGGGAGGGGCTTCCTGTAGCTTTGGATTGAGTCTGGAAGGATGGCTAGAATTCAGCTAGTCAGAGAACAAGATGGAGAACACATTAAGAAGAGAGCAGAGCTTTTGAGGCCATTGTGGGAGAGTGCAGACCAGCTTGGATGAAGCTACGGTCTAGCATTGATGACAGTGAAGTAAACCTTTGCCCTGAAGTATTTCACATTATCTCATGTTTCATGTTTCCAGGGTGGAATTATGGGCATTGAGATCTACTGGGACTGCAACTTAGACCGATGGTTCCATTCCTGCCGTCCAAAGTATAGTTTCCGTCGTCTTGATGACAGGACCACCATTGAGTCCTTATATCCTGGCAATAACTTCAGGTAAAGCACTATGAGAAGTCAGTAATAACAGGTGGTCAATTTTCCTAGTTTTTGCCAGTTTTTCCTGGTTCACCAAAATGCTAAATTTATCCCCAACACTTAGCAGGGTGTTTGGCTCATAGCAAATAATTCTTTTTTTAGGCAATTGGGGTTAAGTGACTTGCCCAGGGTCACACAGCTAGTATATGTCAAGTGTTTGGTCTGAGGCCGGATTTGAGCACAGGTCCTTCTGACTTCAGGGCCGGTGCTCTATCCACTATACTACCTAGCTGCCCCTCATAGTAAATAATTAATAAATTATCTAGCTGTCTATCTGTCTGTCTATCTATCTATCTATCTATCTATCTATGTACCTTTTGTTGTTATTTAGTTGTTTCAGGTGTGTCTGACTCTATGACCCCATTTGGGGTTTTCTTGGCAACGATACTGGAGCGGTTTGCTATTTCTTTTTACAGATCATTTTACTTTTGAGGAAAATAAAGCAAACGGGGTACAGTGATTTGCCCAGTGTCATGCAGCTAGTACATGTCTGAAGCCAGATTTGAACTCAGGAAGATGAGTCTTCCTCACTCCAGGCCCAGCATTCTCTGCAATATGACACCACCTAGCAGCCTTACCTGTGTACCTCCCCATATAAATCACATGCCAGGAGTAGTACCATTTAATAAATGTTTGCTAAATGAGTGAGTCACTGGATTATCTCTAAGGTCCCTTCCTCTAAACCCTGTAATTCAAAACAACAAAATAAAGAGGAAGTTTTTGCAAACTTTGATGATTAGTGAACTGGCAGGGGATGGAGGGAGGCAGAAGAGTGTGTGTATGTATGTGTTTAATGCTGCATCTTCTGGCTGAATAGTTTTTGATCATTACAGGAAAAGTGAACATGATTAGCCACTTCCTGTCAGCAAAAGCTAGACTGGGAAACCATAAGGAGCAATCTGTCAGTTAGATGTTAGTAAATATCCTTTGAATCCCCAAGCTAAGCCTGAGAACATTAGCTCCCAGGGTGATGTTGAGTTCTCTGGAAAACAGAGACAGGTACACCACTGGTTTTTACTTAGAATAAATTGTTAGATCATGTGTTTCATTGACTAAGCAATGGAGGAAAGCTCTGTAGAAAGAGAAAATGGGGGCATCTGAAAGGTTTCCCCAAAAACTCTTCTTAAAATAATGTTACAAGTTAAGAAAAGCCAGGTTATACTATTAATTAATCCAAATCAATTCAATTGAACAAGTATGTGTTAAGTTCTATGTGCCTAGCACTGTGGTAGACACAGGGAATACAAAGGCAAACATAAACTCCTACCTGTCATCAGGGAGTTACACTCTGCTGGCTATCGCCGTACACTTGAGAGAGTCTTCCTCGATTTTTCTCAAAAGGTAATGGAGGAGGGGTTTGGTCTGCTCCTCCACATTGTGGCTCCATCCCTTGCTATTCCTCTAACTGCTTGTATGTCAGTAAGAGAGTAAGCCAGAACTAGTGGTCTCTATCTTTTACTTGAAATGCTGAATTACCAAACTAGGTTTACATTCAGTTCCACATCCTAATGTATTTGCAACTGAAACCATTAATTTAAAAACTCTAAAATTCTGTTAAATTCTGTCTGCTTTATTAGTTGAAATGAATGCAGTTTACCTTCAGCCATCAGACTTCTTTCTAATCTTTCAGCCAGTTAAGTTTTTAAAAAGGCTGTTTTTAAAGTTTAAAAGATATCCCTCAAATCCCCAGGGGGTAGGGAGACAGAAAGGAAGAGGCAGAAGAAAAAGATGAAGAAGTGAGGAGGGAGGGATAGGGAAAGAAAAAAGAAGGTAAGTGGGGAGAGAGAGAGAGAGAGAGAGAGAGAGAGAAGAGAGAGAGAGAGAGAGAGGAGAGAGAGAGGAGAGAGAGAGAGAGAGGAAAGGTATATATCTACAGGGCCATGTACCTTATGATCCTCTATCCCAGATTCTTGGGTTATGACTTCCTTGTGATACTTTGCCTTGCCTCCAAATTCTCCACTCTTTCCCTTCAAGTAGTCTCCTTTCTCTAAAGTAATGGATCCTGGTATTCCAAGGACTCAGAGAGATAGGGTTTAGGAACTTCCACTATCTGGCCACCTAGCTCTCTTTTCCACGACTGCCATCTCTGAGGCTGAGTGGGGAAAAGCAGGTAGTCCCTGGTGGGAAGTGGGTGCTGTGCCTGTGTGCCTTCACTCATCAGGGACCCAGATCCGGCCTACCTCAATTGTCTTGGGATCTCGTGTCAACATGGATGTACAAACTACATAAAATAGGAAGGGATTCTTACTATTATAGAAGTTTAGCTTTATTGAAATGCTCATGGCAGAGTTCCTTTAAATCTCATGTGGCTTTTCTCCTCTCATTGGAGGGAGAAGCAGCTATATGTGGGGAATGTAAACATGCAGAGAGATGGAGAGAGAGGAGATAGAGACAGATGGGGAGAGAGGAGGTAGAGAAAGAAGAGATGGAGAGAGAAAGAGAGATGATATGTTAAGAGGTGGAAGGAGTGAGAGAGGAGATGGAGAGAGACAGTGAGAGGTAGTGAGAGGGTGAAGGAAGAAGAAGAAGAAGAAGAAGAAGAAGAAAAGAAGAAGAAGAAGAAGAAGAAGAAGAAAAGAAAAGAAGAAGAAGAAGAAAAAAAGAAGGAGGAGGAGGAGGAGGAGAAGAAGAAGAAGAAGAGGAAGAAGAAGAAGAAGAAGAAGAAGAAGAAGAAGAAGAAGAAGAAGAAGAAAGAGGTAGAGAGAAAATGGAGAGAAATGGAGAGGAGGAAGGGAGAGGAGACAGAGGGGGAGAGTTGGAAATAGAGAAAGGTGGAGAGATAGAGAGGGAGAAAAAAGGCAGGGGGAAAGAGAAAGGGGAGAGAGAGAAAGAGAGTTGGAGAAGGCAAAGGAGAAGGTGGGAGAAAGAGGAAGAAGGGAGAGGGAGAGATTGAGGGGAAGATGGAGGGGAGAGAAGGAAATTGAAAGGAGAGAGAGATGAGGAGAGACAGAAATGTTTGTGGTCTGGCCTTTGAAAGCAGAATTCCACAGGCTACACAGTAACTATTATATGTGCAAAGTCAGGCCTTGATCCACTTAGAGGGTAGGAATCTGGTGGACCAAAGGAAAACAATAGTGTTTATTTCTTGCATGGCCATGAAAATAAGTTCCTGGGCTGGAGAGCATTGATCAGGTTATTAAGCGAAAGGAAATGAATTTTAAACTGGGAAGCACTTTACTACAGCCTGACACAAACACACAGATGACTCAGACTATACTTTCTGTATACCAGCAGAGGGTACATTTCTTATGATCCCCCATACACATCCATTTTAATCACCTACCGTGTGCCGAGCGCTGTGCTAAGGAATTGGGGTACAAAGAAAAGCAAAAGACGTCCCTGTTCTCTAGGAACTCGAGATCTTGAAAAGAGAGGGGGAGGTTTGCTGAGTTGGGCAGTCAGGGTGGAAAAGATCTGAGGAGGTGTGGGTGCCAGAGTGGATTTCATCTTGAAGAATGATGAGTTTCTGGAAATGATGGAGTCTAGGAAAGCAGCCAAAAGTGGGAAACGATCAAGATTCCCTGGGCGCTCTCCTAAAATGCCGGAGAATCAGATAGGAGCTCCCAGGTGCCCACACTGCCCCTCTCCCCTAGTCTGTCTTCTCCAGAGAGAGAGAGAGAGAGAGAGAGAGAGAGAGAGAGAGAGAGAGAGAGAGAGAGAGAAGAGAGAGAGAGAGAGCCTCAGGGGCAGGAGTGATTTCATCTTCCCGAGTGATACATTTCTGGAGATGATGAGGACCAGGAAAGCAACTGGATGGAAAGGATCCTATTATTATGAGTCAAAGGAACTTGTCAAGAAGAAATTAAATGATTCACCCAGGATCACATAGAGCTAATAAGTGTCTGAGGCTGGATTTGAACTCAGATCTTCCTAACTCCAGGCTCTGTCCACTTGGCCTCTAGCTACCACTAAGGCGGATCTCCCTCCCTCTTCCACCTCCACCTTGGCAGATGGCAATAGAGAGTTTCAGTAGTTGTAAGGTTGTTCCCCCTGCCACCAGGCTGGTGACCAATGATCCTCAGAAACTGAGCTACATATACCCCACTGCTGTGTCCAAAGTCCCTAGCCTTCAATGCTCACCAGGACTTGCTGTTTTGCTGGCTTGGGGTCTAAGACTATGGGGACTCCTCTGGCAACTCTAAAACTATCAGAACTATAAGAAAGGCTGCGATTTTGGGGTGGGTAGAAGCAGTGCCTACACATGTAAATACCCACAAAATCATGGATGCCTGAGATTGAATGAGCCACAACTGAACCAGAAAATGGACTGATTCTGTCACTTATTACCTATGTGATCTTAACCTCTCCAGGCCTCAGTTTCCCCATCTGTAAAATGAAGGATTTGGACTAGAAGATCTTAAAGGTCACAGCTATAAATCTATGACCCTATCATTCTGTCATTTAACCTCTCTGGGCCTCAGTTTCCCCATCTGTAAAATGAAGGAATTGAGCTATATGGCCTCTGAGTCTACTTCTAGTTTGAAATCTACATGTAACAAGACAGCACAGACTTTTCCTCCCTTATCAATAGAATTTTCACATTTTGCTCACTGTATTCTTCCTCTCTTATAGATTTGCCAGATATTATATGGAAGGAAATATAGAAAAACGAAATCTGATCAAAGCTTTTGGAATCCGGTTTGACATTCTGGTCTTCGGCACAGTAAGCACCTCTCCTCCATCCATCCCCTATGCCCAGTTATCCCTGGAACTGCTCAGAGGAATGAAGGGTCTCTATTGCTCTGGGCCACACTGGTTGCCTTGTATTTCAAAGGTAGAAGAATGATGGAGGAGGAAGAAATGCCCTGTCTATGAACGGGTCAACTGAAGCAGGGATGGTGGGAGAATTCTAGCATTCAAATGAAGAGAATTCAGCTGCTGAGAATTAGTGTTTATTTATGCTCAAGGCATTCCTATTTACCAACAATTTAATGGAAATGTGAGCTGTTCGAAAGTAAGGGCTGTCTTGCACTTCTCTTTGTATTCTCAGTGCTTGATACACAATAGATAAGGATTGTAGACCTATGGTTGGGGCAGCTAGGTGGCGCCACAGCGCTTAGAATCAGGAAGACCCATCTTCATGAGTTCAAATCTGGATTCGGACATGTACTAGCTATGTGAACCTAGGCAAGTCACTTAATCCTGTTGACCTCAGTTTCTTCATCTGCAAAATGAGCTGGAGAAGGAAATGGCTAACCACTCCAGTATCTCTGCCAAGAAAACCCCAAATGGGTTCATGAAGAGTTGGACATGAATGAAAAACAACTGAACTGAGACCTATGGTTGCAGAACTCCAGGGTGATGAAATTCCCTTCACCAATGCAAGTCAGCACTTTCTCTGCAACTAGTAGTCTATTTTCTTTCTTTTTCATTATTTTTTTTATAGTGAGGCAATCAGAGTTAAGTGACACGCCCAGGGTCACACAGCTAGTAAGTGTCAAGTGTCTGAAGCCAGACTTGAACTCAGGTCCTCCCGACTCCAGGGCCAATGTTCTATCCACTGTGCCACCTAGCTGCCCCAACTGGTAGTCTTAAAGAATTTAAAAGTTAAGTGACTTGCCCAGGTTCACGCAGTTAGTATGTATCAGAGGGGCACTTGAAACCAGGTCTTAACTATTAGATGAGTTCTTCATCCACTACCCCTCTCCCACTGCCTCTCATGAACTATTAATGATGATAATAATAACAACATAATTATAAATGGTTTATTATGGCTAATACATAGCCACATTATTATATAATTATTATATATTATATAATATTATAGTTAATGATAGTTATAGTTAATATTTAAAACACTCCTGTGAGGCAGACAGTCCAAATATTAGGTGGCATAGTAGATATAACACCGAACTACAGGAAAACCTGAGTCTGAATCCTGTCTCAGACTCTTAGTAACTGTAAAATGAGAGTAATAATAGCTCCCACTTTCAAGGGTTACTGTGAGAATCAAATTATATAAGCTATGTAAAATACTAGACAAACCTTAAATCAGTATAGAAATGCTCAGTAATATAATTTACTACTATTGTATAGCTGGGTGTGTACTGACTGGCTTCAATGTTTGTTGATTGACTAACCAAGGACATGAAGACACATGGCTCAGAACCAGACAGTTAAATGTGTATAGTCAGCAAGATTCAAAAAACAAGAGAAATGGCCCTTTCTCAGAGGTCTTTAATCTTTTTGGGGTACTGGACCCCTTGGGTCTAGCCTAGGGACTCCTCGGACTCCTATTTCTAAACACATTGAGGACAGCTAGGTGGCAAAGTGGATGAAGTGCCTGGCCTGGAGTCAGGAAGACTAATTTTTGTGAGTTCAAATCTGGCCTCAGACACTTACTAGTTGTATGACCCTGGACAAGTCACTTCACCCTGTTTACCTCAGTTTCCTCATCTGTAAAATGAGCTGGAAAAGGAAATGGCAAACCACTCCAGTATCTTTGTCAAGAAAACCCCAAATGGGGTCACAAAGAGTCAGACACAACTGAAAAATGACTGAATAACAACAAACATAAAATAAAGTACTTAAAATTACAAAGGATAACAATAATATTGAAATGTAGATACATCCACACGTGTATAATGTATATCTGATTGCTTACTATCTCAGGGAGGTAGGAGTAGATACAAGGAGGGATGGAGGAATAGAATTTCAACTCAAAATTTTAAATAAAAATTAAAAATGCTAAATAAAAAATATTAATAAAAATATAGGCATCAAAATAACAAAAATTCCAAGTTCATGGCATTCCAAAATCTGTCTCTGGCCCTCAGGTACAGAACTCCCACTTTAGATCTATGCCCCTATGATTTTAGGAACCCCAGCAACATGAGCAGGAATTTGTCCAGACACACGCTTCCTGACATTTGCTATTAGACCCAAAGGAAGCATCTTGGAAGCTCCACCTTCTAAGTGCAAAGCAATCATTCTGGAATGGCCCTCAGCTCCATTTCTGGAGGATTCAGCTGTGGTCGGGACATGCCCTGGGACATTCCCAAGCTGGATCACAGGAACAGAGCTTGTGGAAGTCAAACAGTTGGTAAGCTTTTAATCAAAGAAAGCGTGACTCCCATGTTATTGTGCCCACTGTTATGAGCATTTCAGATGGATCTATCAAATCCTATGCCTTAATTCTGTCAAATAACAGGTATCTCCATCCTGCCATCCATCAGTAGCAGTTACCATGTCAGAATGTGACTGCTTCCATTCTGAATTTTAAGTTAACACATCTCATTTTGTTTAAGGGAGGAAAATTTGACTTCATCCAAATGGTCGTATACATCGGCTCAACTCTCTCCTATTTTGGGTTGGTAAGTATCTCATTTCTATGTCTTTTTTTTTAAATGCTGCGTGATTTGTTTTGTTTGGCTATGTGATTTCATCAGTTTAGGGAACTGGGGTGAGCAAACTCCCTTCACCAATGGAGATTAGCAACTTCTCTTAAATTTGCTGAGATTATAGTTGTAGACAGTAACGGCAACATTGTGCAATGATCAACTATGAATGACTTCTTAGCTCTTCTCAGCAATACAATAATCCAAGACAGTTCCAAAAGACTCGTGACGGAAAATGCTGTCCACATCCAGAGAAAGAACTATGGAGTCTGAATGCAGATCAAAGCATACTATTTTCACTTTTTTGGTGGTTTTTCCCTTTTATTCTGTTTTTTTTCATTCACAACATGACTAATGCGGAAATATGTTTAACATGATCACACCTATATTCGATTGCTTGCCATCTTGGGGAGGAGGGAGAAGAGGGAGGGAGAAAAATTTGGAACTCGAAATCACATAAAAATGAATGTTGAAAACTCTCTTTACATGTAATTTTAAAAAGTACTATTTACAAAAAAAAAAGACTATAGTTGTAGAGAGCTGTGCGGGGCACTGAGAACTTATAGCCAGTAAGAACTGGAGGGAGGACTTAAAACTAAGTCTTCCTGATTCCAAGGCTAGCCCTCTCTCTTCTATGCCAAATTGATTTTCTAGACATTCAAAGATTATTTGGTAAAAGAAGAGCTCAAACCTCGTTCCATTTTCCCTAGGCCACAGTGTTCATCGATTTTCTCATTGATTCATACTCAAGTACCTGTTGCCGATCTCGTGTTTATCGCTGCTGTCCGGTCTGTGAGCCCTGTGGGGTCAATGAGTACTACTATAGGAAGAAGTGTGAGACCATTGAGGAGCCCAAACCGGTAAGGGATGAATGCCATCTTTCCCTTAACTATGCAAATGTCGACATAATGTTGGACATTGGTTAACTCAGTAAAAAAAGAAATCAAGTCAGTAGGTACCATGCTAATGGTGCCAAAGCCATGAGTTCCAGCCCTATGTGGGCCATTAAACTGCACTCCATTGCCAAGAGACTATTCCTTTAATTGTAGCCAACTTTCTCTTAGAAGTTTGCCAAGGCTTTAAAAGAAACCCCCTCCCCACAATGAAGTGGGGAATCAAGGGGCAGAGACAACAAACTTCACTGATTATGTCATTTGGTCAAGGGTTGGCTGGCAGAGAATCAATCACATTGAGCCCTAATTATGGATAAGCGCCCAGAGAATTACTATTCAAGACTTCAGCTTTGAGTTTCATTATCCCCCTTCTTCATAGCCATGTAACTGGCACTTTAGAACAGCACAGACAGAGCATTCCTTTGTTTTTCAATATATCTGTCTTCCCTTACAACACTGTTCCATGCACAATTCGTTGTCTATTCTACACAGTTTTAAAAAGTGTAAGAAGAAATTCATCTTCAATGCAAAAATCCCCTACTAGCTTATGACATAAAATAAGATGAATTGCTTAGGTTTGCTAACTTATTTTGTAATATGGTAATATTGTTATTGTTGTAGTAATGCAGTGGGAAAGTGAGATCGAAGGGTAGAAATTACCTAAGAGCAGGACTTATTTCTCAAAGCTTTATTGTCGTAAAAGCTAACAGAACCAAGCAGTGTCAAGAGGCTGGCTGGTTGACTAGAAGCAGAATGGGGACTGCTTATATTGGAGCTGAAGGGGAAGTGACTTATAGAAATTTGCAATGACATAATCTTTGTGTTATGCAAACAAAAAAAAAAAGTGTGCCTGTGCTTTCCTGGGTCTTCTGAGTGGCTATCAGGAAATACTATACTTTCATTCTCGAGAGTCCCTTCATTATCATATTCATGACATGTTAATGAGGGCTTTGACATCACATAAGTTACTATCCGGCAGTGAGGCATCTCACGGTGCTTGTATGGTCTTGGGAAAATCCCTTGACCACAAAGTCGCTGGTGACAGGGTGAGTTGAGAGTCCCTGCACCACAAAGTCACTGGTAGACCTCAGAGTGATAAGGTTGTCTGTTCAGCATATGGGGGAAGTAGTTGTCTACTCAGCATATGGGGGAAAGGGCTCAGTATGGGGGGGGGAAGGATAGGGTCTCATTGCTTTGGGGGAAAAATAGGACTTTGCTGCTCTTATTTCATTTTATTATATTATATTTGCTTTCTAATATTTTATTTCACTATATGCAATTCTTCTGGAACTAGTCACATTAGAAATTACTGATAGCTGAGAAAATACAAATGATTTCAGAAGTTTTTAAGGGATGCTTGAGAATGAAGCTAATTTAGGTCATAAGCAGAAGAGTGTGGTCCAGGGGGTGATTTCTGAGACTAAGAAGATGTCTGACTTCCATTTCTGGCTCATGGTTGAAGTGGAATTGACAGAAATAATTAACTCCTAGTGGGCCCCAGTATATGGACAGGTAATCAATCATTTATAAAGGGCTTATTATGTGCTGGGCCCTTTGCCAGGTTAAGATATAAATAATATTCCTCCCTTCAATAATGAGATATTATTTTTAAAAGTACTTACACATTGCCTGGCACTTAGTAGGCACTTAATAAATGCTCATTTCCTTGTTCTTCCCTCCCTCCCTCCTTTCCTTCCTGAATTCCTTCCTTCCCTCCTCTCTTCCTCCCTCCTTCCTTCTTTCCTTTCTTCCTTCCCTTAAATAATATTGATATACTATGTCAAACAGGCAATCACAACCTCATGAGACTTACATGAAAACCAGGTTTATTACAAGAGAAATTAATATGCATGTGGAACCCAAGTTGTTCACAATCCATACAGAGGTTTCCATATTTATGACAGCAGGATACCAGGAAGCTCCATCTAAAGGAGCATGGAACTGGAGGGGGAAAGGTGCAGTAAAGGTAGGAAAAGGACAAAACCCCTCCCAAAGGGGAGAAGCAAAGTGACTGGCCAAAGTCGAATTCCTTTCCCTTGAGAATTGCAAGACTGTGAAGAGAGAAGGGTCCACTTATCTACAGGGTCCCAGCTGCACGAGCCATTTCTCAGCCTAGCACAGACTGACTGGCGTCTGCCTTGACTCCCAAGGACACACAGGGAGTCCAGTTTGGGGTGCAAATAACAAATTATGTCAGCTGGGGGCGGGAGGGGGCTGTCCTTGACACATTCAGGGCTTCCTCCACACTCCAGTGTTTCTGGAAAATAAGGCTACTCAAAAAGGGACCCCTTAATAGCCCTTGACAACTACATCATTGTTAGGAAGTCATTTTATCTTTCCTTTTTTTTCCCGCTAGACTTTAAAGTATGTGTCCTTTGTGGATGAACCCCACATTCGAATGGTGGACCAGCAGTTGTTGGGGAAAAGTCTGCAAGAAATGGAAGGTGAAGAGGTTCCAGTAAGTTAAGCTATTTGTATTTATGCTTAGGGATCGGCTTATTGGTTTGGGTCAGACAAGGAAAGACAGGGTGTTCCAGAAGTTTTAAGCTTTTTAAAACCTTAAACACAAACTAATACTTTTGGGACACCCCGTATATTTAAAGTGCTTTGCAAAGCTCAGAAATACTAGCAATTACTTTTCTCTCCATCAAAAATAAAGCTATAAGTTGTCCAGGGTAGAGCTAGATGAATGGAAGTACGGCTGTGTGCTTTGTGGGGAAGAGTCTTGCTTCTCAAAAATGGATTGTCTCTATCCCTAGGACATTAATGGTTTTTGTTAGAGTTGGTCTTTGCTGAATGAGTCCATCTAGATTTTTTTTAAGGCAATTTTTAGGCAAATGGGGTCACGAACAGTCAGACACGACTGAAATCTACTGAACAACAACAAATGTATAATTAGACTGTAACCTTTAAAGCAGAGATTTTTTCATTCTTTGTATTCCTATCCCCAGAGTCTGGCAAATAAGATTAGGAATAGACTTGTGATTTCACTGATGTAGGAATTTCCCCCTACCAATGTAGACAGGCGCCTTCTCAACAATTTATTGTCTTTGAGAGTTGCCTTAATCACTGAATGGGTGTTGCCTTGGTCAGACTGAGACCTGGGAAAGACCTCAGCTTAAAAAGGCCAAGGTCTCCCACTTTATTCAAGGCCATCTCCAGTCGTCCTGATTTCTTTCTGGCCTCTGGACCCAGATGGCTCCAGAGGAGAGAGTGAGGCTAGTGACTTTGCACAGCCCTTGCCTCACTCAAATCCAATTCACTTACAAGTCATGACATCACTTTCCTGATGTCATGGTCCTCTTAGAGAATGAAGGACAAAGAAAATCAGTGTGTCAATGTGCTAGACACGGCAAAAAGCAATCCTAATAGAGCAGGCAACTTGAAAACAATTGGGCACGTGCAAGATAAATATTCAGTAGATGGGTGGTAATTGGAAAAGGAAGGCATTAGAAGTCAGGGGGACAGGGGCAGCTGGGTGGCACAGTGGATAAAAGCACCGGCTCTGGAGTCAGGAGGACCTGAGTTCAAATCTGGCTTCAGACACATAACACTTACTAGCTGTGATCCTGGGCAAGTCACTTAACCCCATTGTCTAGACAAAAAAAAAATGTCAGAGGGACTGGGAAAAGGCCTGCTGTAGAAGGGAGGATTTCATTTGAACTTTGAAGGGAAATTAAGAGGTAGGGGTGAGGAGAGATGCATTCCAAATATTGGAGACAACCAGTGCAAAAAGCACTGAAGGTTGTGAAGCCAATGTGGTTGGCTCCTAGAAAGAACCAAATTGTAAGTAAGAAGGCTAGAAAGGTAGAAGGCGCCCGATTATGAAGAGTTTGAAATGCCAAACAGGGAGTTTGGTTTTTATCCTGAAGGTGATGGGGAGCCATTGAGGTTCATAGAATAAGGGGGTGACATGGTCAGACCTCTACTTTAGAAAAATCACCCTGGAAGCTGAGTGGAAGATGGATTGGAATGGAGAGAGATTTAACGTTGGGTCTTGAGTTAGAAGGCTGTTCATTTCTAATGAATCTGGAAATTTCCCTTCTGCAGAGACCCCGAAGGGATTTCACAGACTCGGCCAAGCTATCCCCACCACCTGACTCCAGCCCCAGCCCTGCAGCCCCAGAAGAAATGCAGCTTCTTAAAGAAAAGCCAAGGCTTCCATCCCCAGAGAGGCCCAAGTGGTGCTGCTGTGGACAGTGCCGCCCTTCCCAACTCCCAGAAAGTAGCAAGTTCATAGAGCAGCTCTGCTGCCGCAGGAAGGAGGGTCCCTGCATCACCACCTCAGCTGTATTTGAGGAGCTGGTCCTCTCCAGGGCCACCCTGCGCTTCAGCTTGCTCTACCAAGAGCCCTTGCTGGAGATGGATGCAGACGCCTTGAATGACCGGCTCCGTCACTGTGCCTACAGGCGCTACATCGACTGGCGCTTTGGCTCCGAGGACATGGCCGGCTTTGCTATCCTACCCAGCTGTTGCCGGTGGAAGATCCGGGAGCAATTTCCCAAGCAGGATGGAAAGTACACTGGCTTCAAGAACCCTTCCCCATACACATGTTTGGATTAACAGAGCCACTAAAATCGGTTCCTTTCATCTTTAACCTTCTTGAGCTGCTGGGAGAAAGATCTGAGAGGTCCACCTTGGAGTACGGAAACCCCCTTTCTTGCCTTGAAACTCTGCAGGTATAGGGAGGGAGCAGCCTGACCTAGGAGAAAGAACTCTGGTTGAAAGCCTGAGCTCCCTCTAGGAAAGTAACTCCCCACCGGTAAGGCACTTAGCCTTAGTGCCTCAGTTTCTTCATCTGGAAAATTATAACAAAAACCTGCCCTGTCAATCCAAAGAGACCTTTTGAGGATAAAATAAGAATCTATAAATGAAAATGTTTTGGAAAAGGTTAAATGCGCCATAAACGTGTACACTATTCTTATTCTGTAAGAATAGGAGTGGCAGGGGCAGCTAGGTGGCACAGTGGATAGAGAACTAGCCCTGAAGTCAAGAGGACCTGAGTTTAAATCCGGCCTCAGACCAAACACTTGACACTTACTAGCTGTGTGACCCTGGGCAAGTCACTTAACTCCAATTGCCTAAAAAAAGAGAGAGAGAGAGAGAGAGAGAGAGAGAGAGAGAGAGAGAGAGAGAGAGAGAGAGAGAATAGGAGGGGAAACCAACAGGGAGTGTGAATGATGTAGATCTAAGTAGTGAATCCTGGGTTCACAGATTTAGAGACTATCCTCCAGGTTAGATCCTTTGATTCCATCTCTAGAATGAATGAATGGAGAAGCATTTATTAAGCACTCGTGGTGTGCTAAGTGCTAGGGATACAAATACCAGAAAAAAGATAGTTTTTGAGGAACTTACATTCTGATTGGGAAGACCACACAAATTGGGAGTAGAAAGGGGAGGGGCATGCATGCACTGTGCCAGGGCTGGAAATGGCCGGGAAGTATGCCCAGTTCCAGGCAAAATCAGGCAAAAGTTCACCTATCTAAGCCCAGAATTCTTCAGGCAGAGTCTGAGTTTGGCAGAAGGGTAAAGAAGAGGATGGTCAGGGTACTAGAGGCAGAATTTGGAAATGACTAGGGGTAGCCAACCATCTCTCCTATCTGTCCCCTTACCTCCACTCTCATGGCCACCCCACCTCATTTAGACCCTCATCACCGCTCCCCTGGGCTATACCAATAGCCTCTTAATCGATCTCCAGTCTCTCTTCACTCCAATCCATCTTCTACACAGTTGACAATTAGAGATTCTTAAAGTATAGCTCTGATCGTATCATTTCCCTCTAAGACAGTGGTTTCCAATTTTTTTTTGTTTTGTGAACCCCTTTTTAACAACAAAAATGGGTTGTGAGCCCCTAAGGTAATTTAATACACTACTCATAATATTCTTTACAGTTATTTACTGCTTAAGTCATGGCGCATCATTGCAAACTCCTAAGGTATTCCCCCAACCATTCAATATCCTAGGATCATGTGTGAACTCCTTTGGCCTTTAAACCCTTCACAACTGGATCTCAACCTATCTTCCCAGATTTAATCTCTCTCTCTGTCTCTCTCTCTCTGCAATTGGGGTTAAGTGACTTGCCTATGATCTCACAACTAATTAGAGTCTGAGGCTGGATTTGAACTCAGGTCCTCCTGACTCCAGGGCCGATGCTCTACTCGCTGTGCCACCTAGCTGCCCCCAGACTTAATTCTTCCTTCCTCTCTCTCCTCCACTATTACATTCCAGCCCGACTGGCCTTTTTGCTGTTCTGAAGGAGTCATTTTGTCTACTGCCTTAGCAAGGCTGTCTCCCACATCTGGGATGCTCTTTCTGTCTCTTGTGTCCCCTTCAAGGTTCAATTCAGATGCCACCATCTATAGGAGACCTCTCTTGATAATCTACCACCCACCGACCCTCAGTCATTAGTCCTCCCCCACTAATAAGACTTAGTCTTCCATTGCCATATGCATGTTGTTTCCTTCAGCAGAATATAACCCCCTTGAGATCAGGGACAGCTTTCATATTTGTCCTTGTATCCCTGGTGCCTAGAAGAGTACCTGACACATAAATTCTTCTTGAATTGTTGAATTTAATCAAATTGAAAGAGACAGGGAGCTCTGAAGTCATCTGGTCCAAACTCTTCATTTTACAGATCAAAAAACTAAGGACCAGAGAGTCAAAGTGACTTATTTGAGATCACACGAGTAGTAAGTGGCCAAGCCAGATCCTGTGACTCTAAATTGGGTGCTTTTTCTAAGGACTGAGTCCTTGGTAAGTAGTATGATCTATGGTTTCTTCAGACGATTGTAGGATCCGTCAGTGAGTCAGTTGACAAATATTTATTAAGCGCCTACTATTCACTAGGAAAGAAAAGAGAGGCAGATAGTCCCTGCTCTCAAGGAGCTCACAGCCTAATGAATGACAGATCCAGAGTTAGAAGTAACCTCAGAGGCCTTCTAGTCTAATCTTTTCATTTTACAGATGAGGAAACTGAGGCTCAAGATAGTTAAATGACTTGCCCAAGGTCACACAGATTTCAGCGTCAGACATGAGATTTGAACCTAGGTCTACTGTTTCCATACTCAACACTCTTTCCACTGTATGCTGCCTCCTTTTGGCTCCTCATTAGTAAGTAGCATGACCCATAATTTCTCCAGAGACTCAGGTCTTAATACCTCAAGATTGGCCAAGATCATGGGGAAGACTGTCTCCAGGCATTTCACTTTTCCATGTTAGTTCTAGAGTCCCCCAAGGGTTTGAATTTCTTCTCAGTATTTCCAGTATGGCTCTTTGTGGCTCACTCTTGGAATACCTCAAATAAAAAAACCTTCCCATTGGGTTTCTCCAGTTCAAGAATACACATCTGTGAAGGAGAGAATGTGTTGTTTCCAGGTCTAGGAACCCTCCCTCTATGCCTTTGCAGCTAAGCAGAAGTACTACAATAGAGAGAAGTCCAAATATTCCTGAGAAAAAAATTAGACTCCATCCACAAAATGTTTTCTTGAAGGCTGGCTACTTATAGAATGGGGAAAATACATAGCCTCAAACTCCATCTGTTCTCAAGATCTGTCCTGCCAGGTTTCTTTGCACCAAGGTTGATAGCAGAATGTTGTTGTTTTTTTTAACCTGTATTGGCAGTGTGGCATATTGGATAGAATGTTGATCTTGGAGGGAGGAGGACTTGGATTCAAATCCTGCCTCTGACACTTACCAGTAAAGTCATTTAGCTTCAATTTCCTCATCTGCAAAATGGAGGTGGGGGAGGGGAGGGGATTGGACCTGATGGCTTCTGAGATTGATTCCATCTTCATGTCTACGATCTTATATCTCCTTTGTACAGTGGTATGTTTAAAGAAATACTGACCACCCCAATGGCTCTTGAGATGAGAATACATAAGGTCCGATGTAGACATGACTGTGATCTGGGACCTGTGATTGAATCATGTCTGAGTTTCAAGATGCACCATTCTAAAATGTCTTTTTTTTCCCAAAAAATACATTTTTGGAATGACTTTTGTTTCTGCAGTCTCTCCAGACATAGTTTCCTTCCTGCCACCACACTCAAAGAATGATCCTTCCCTTGTAACAAAGATAATGAGTGAAGCCAAATCAATGAAAATAGCGTTCATGACCATGGATGGCTTTTTAAAATGAGCAACTTTGCGTTTTAATAATAAAAAGCATTGTGAATGAGCCTTTCATGAACAGGATTTTATCTGGATTCAAACTCAGGAACTAAACTGATTGGGCCAGATTCTCTTGGAGAATGAGACACTATGAGCCTACTTTTTTTTTTTTATTGCTGTTCTGTGATATTTTTGGAAACTGGGCTGTATCTGGTTTCATGGGAATGGAAATTATTTGCTCTATGAAGTCTGCTGTCTTATTCTCCCATGTCTGTATCCAAATGGCCCCAGAGTGGGAAGTTCCAGAACTTCATCTCCATGTAATTTCTTTTTTCTATATTTATTTTATTTTACATTTTGAGTTCCAAGTTGTCCCCCTTCCTCCTTTCCAACCCCACATTAGAGAAGACCAACATTTGATATAGATATAGATGTGGAACCTTACAATACGTTCTTCTATATATCAGTTCTTTCTCTGGAGGTTGATGACATTTTCCTTCATGAGTCTTTCATAGTTGGTATGAATGATCATGTTACTCAGAATAGTTTAGTCATTCACAGTAACTCTTCTAACAATATGGCTGTTATTGTATACAACATTGTTTTGATTCTGCTCATTTCACTTCATTATTTCATGCAACACTCAACAACATCATGTCATGTTTTTCTAAAAACAACCTGTTCATAATTTCTTACAGCACAGCAGTATTCCATCACAATCATATACCACAACTTGTTCAGCCATTTCCCAATTGATGGGCATCCCCTCAATTTCCAGCTCTTTGCCACCACAAAGAGAGCTGCTATAAATATTTTAGAACATATAATTTCTTTTCCTTTTTCCCTGATCACCTTGGGGAACAGACTTAATGGTGGTATTGGTGGATCAAAGGGTACACACAGTTTTATAACTCTTTGGGCATAATTCCAGATTGCTCTCTAAAATGGCTGGATGAGTTTACAATTTCACCAACAGTGTGTCAGTGTCCCAGTTTTTCCACATCCCCTCCAACATTTGTTATCCCCCCCTTTTTTAGCCCATCTGTTAGGTGTGAAATGGTATTTCAATATTTTAATTTGCATTTCTCTAATCAATACTGATTTAGAGCATTTTTTCATATGACTATATGTATATATATGTGTGTATATAGCTTTGATTTCTTCTTCCAAAAATTAGCTGTTCATTTCCTTTGACAATTTGTCAATCAGGGAATGACTCATATTCTTATAATTTTGACTTAGTTATCTATGTATTTGAGATGAGGCCTTTATCTGAGAAATTGTCTATAAAATCCCACCCCCCATTTTCTGCTTTCCTTCTAATCTTGGCTACATTGGTTTTATTTGTACAAACCTTTTTAATTTAATGTAATCAATATTATCCATTTTACATCCCATAATGCTTTCTATCTCATTTACTCATAAATTCTTCTCTTATCATAAATCTGGTAAGTAATATGTTCCATAGTCTTATAATTATGATATCTCCCTTTATGTCCAGGTCACGTATCCACTTTGACCTTATCTTGGAAAATGGTGTGAGACATTGATCTATACCTAGTTTCTGCCAGCCTGCTTTCCAGTTTTCCCAGCATGTTTTTCCAAATACTGTGTTCTTATCCCAAAAGCTTATATCTTTATGTTTATCAAACACAAGATTACTATAATCATTTATTACTCTGTATTGTATACCTACTCTATTCCACTGATCCACTATTTTATTTGTTAGCCAGTAGCAAATAGTTTTGATACTTACCACCTTATAATAC